CCCTCCCGCGCTAGCCTAAGGGCCACCTTAGCAAAGCGCATCCCAGGCTGCATAGCCGCACTACCCTACCCAACCATACCACACATAAACATGACACTACCCCCGGGGTTTACACAGACGAGCCGGCGAAGCAAGAAGAGCGCCAGAAGAAAGGGCCCTAGCCGGCGGGGCCCAGCCAGGACAAAAGGAGGTCCCACAAAGCGCCTACACCGGCCGCATTTGCGGTCGGGGTAGACGACGGATGGGGCCCACCTACGAAGGCTGTCCAGGCCTACACGAGATGAGGCAGGATAAAGAGGGATAATCCCCCTCGATCCCAAATCATTGAGGCCAATTTCTAGCCATAGAATAATGGCGCGCGGTCAAACTTCTTTAGTCAAATAATTCGCAAAACGGCCTTTCCAAATCAGCTGATTATGATGACTAACGAAATATTTATCCGCTGAAGGACTTTGACCGGTCCAACCATTTGCTGAACATGACCTATAAGGGTTTTTTGGCGAACCAAACCACGGTTAACATGGTTAGCTTGAGTTTTCGTGGTAATAAATATCCTTGGTATGTCCAGGTTGACAGATCCTTTTGGTTTGCTTCTAGGTCGCTTTAACCTCAATTATATGTCAAGTTCACGTTTAAATTAAATAGTCATGGTGAAATGTCCAGCAACATTTATTTAAATATCATTGGTAATAAATATCAATCCTTTAAAAAGCGAAACTGCTCAAACCGGCAGACTAACTTGCGGGACATAATAGGTTCTATTTCGCGAGTGAAGTCGTATGATGTATGTAGTATGTAGTATGTGTAGTACTTTATGCTCGAAGGTGTAGTATGAGTGAACGAATTTAAACTACCATATTCATGTGATAACTAAGATCAAAAGAGATAGAAATAGTAACTACAATATTCAGTCGCTAAAAAAATTATTATTATTATTATTAACTCGATCCAAACTTATCTCATAAGTACGGTTTGCCGGTTTGGCGAGCGAACTCGGCCAAAGTGGGTTTCTAGGAATTCTAGGTAGTCCAATGATTTTATAGTCGCTAGCTAAATTCACTAACGCAAAGCGCAGTCTATATCTTTTCTACGTTACGTTTGTGCCTCTATGGTTTATTATTATTATTATTCTTCAAATCTTAAGTCTACATACATGATTAGATTTTATATGCTGTGGTTTGTAAATTGCAAATTGTAAACATTTTGAGGGATACATATAACAAACTTTTCTTTTTTAACTATTATTGGTAAGTGTTAACGTTTAAATTCCTAGAGTAACAAATGTAGGGAACAATTCTTATGTGGAAGAGTAAAAGCGATTTTATGCGTTAATTCATCAAAAAGTACCAGTTATACAAAAATTTAAAAACAAACTAGTCTTATATTGAGTATTTATATATATCAGATAAGTATAACTACATATATATTTTTTAAATAAATATTCCTTAACTCCTTAAGAATAAACACGTTTATTATTGAGTGTCTAATAGGTAAATAGTTTTTACATTTGAAACATTTTTTTTTAATCCAGTTAATACTTTTATGCTGTATTATTTTATTTAACTCAAAAGTAATTAACAAATTTGGAGTTGATTTTATTCTAAAAATATAGACATATACCTATAGAACATATGAAAACATTCATTCCTAATAAACACTAGAATAAAAATATAAGTGTATGATAAATGATATTGCTTTACTATTTAAGATAAATTCGTTTTGAGATAAACATATAACAAAGAATTAAATTGTAAGGTGTGCAAAAGATGTCCATCCTCAGACAAGACTGATCGTATCGTGTAAGACAACTATTTTATGGGATATATGCTACAAGTAGTACTTATTACATTACACCCCCAATAACCAGTAAACATCTAGTCATAAAGGATTATCCATAATAAGAACTAAAAGTATGTTTTTCTTCAACTGTCACAAAACTATGACATTTTTTGACTGTCTAAGGTTGACATTTTCCTGAGAAAAAAAAATTATCTTAGCAATAAAAGTATTCACTTTTAATCCTAGGAGCTGTATTCACTTTTAATCCTAGGAGCTAAATCTAAGGATTAATTGAAAGTGTTATAATCAAGTTTTAATTTATAAAAGTTTAATCAACAATATTTACAATAATTTTTGTTTATCCACATTAATATTAAATACACAACAATTTTCAAAGCAGTCCAACATATTTTCATTAATAGTATATTATTTTCAGATGTGAAATCAGAAATGACAACGGTGGTTGGTTTATCATTACCATTATCAACTTTCAGTATTCTTTTAGTAATATTTTCTTTATTCAAAAGTGAGTCTTCAATGTAGCCATCCGCCACAGTGCTTAATCTCCATCCACCATGTCTTTTAAGACAAGTGAGTTCACCACCGCTGTCAACTAAAAGTGTAGGAGACATTCGTTGTAATGTGTGTTCACTGTACTTTCCAGTTGTCCAGCTTCAAAAATTTTGCCACTTTTGACTTCGCCTCGCAAATACAAAATTTACTTTCCACAAAAGTAACACTTCTAATCCTAATATAACAATATACTATTAAATAAAATTTTCTACAAAAAAGACACCTGATGTACTGCAACAGTTAGATGATGCAATAATGCAAATTTTTTGTTGTCATCACCTTTGACAAAGATGACATGACATGAATTGTAAAAAACATCAGCTACCGAGCATAATTTCGACTTTTGATAGGTATATATTATTTGTGTAGAATAAAATTCTATACCTATTTCTGATAGTTGCGTGTAAAAATTTAAACATACTAAAAAGTTACAGAAGAATATTCACAAAAGGTTGTAGTAAAATGAACGCGTTGTATGATTTAACCTAATAGGAACATAATTACTGCATGCATACTTTATGAAGAAAAACTAAGTAACAGCAAATTTTGCTCAAATCGGTTCCTTGGGTTCTGAGTTAAGGAGAAAGCAAGAAATAAAAAAAGAAACTTTAATACCTTGTAAACTTTTTTTGAGACATTTTTCGTTTAAGCAATTTGGTTAAATCGATCCCATTTGGGTTCTAGATTATACCCTTGAAGAATGTAACATTCGTTAGATGACACCCTGAATATTTATTGTAGTTACGTTTTTGAATATTTATTGTAGTCACGTTGTGTATATCCCAATGATGGCCACTCCATATATGTCTAAAACAATTCCTTATGCCATATGATACTCTCAACTATAATATTAGCGAATACCGATATTCCTGACCTTTGACTCTTTGTATCTCTAAAACTGAATTTCAGACGTTAGGCCCATGAGGACTTTTGATCAGGATGTCATGAAGTACAATATGTCACATTTTCAGTCCATTTGACTACCGGCTTTTCCATTTGTTTTGTGTGGGGTCTTTTCTAAGAAAATCATTATTTTATTAGCTCATGCTTTTTACTTTATTTTAAAGGTATCAGTTAATTCAATTAACCCGAAAAAGTCGGAAAATTTAGCTTTTTTTTTAATTCATAACTCCGCCATTTTTTAAGTTGCAGAGCTGACCCTGTGCGCAAAAGTAGTGAATTATACGCACTTTAAGTGTGCTCAAAGCAGGCGCTGTCAGACCATTAGTTTTGTCAAAATGCAAATTAAAATTTTTTGAAGCAACAATTTGCAAAAATTCCGGAAGCGTTGGAAGTGGTCCGAATTTAATTTTTCAGCCGTATTTTAAAAGTAGAAGTACAATACTACGAAACATATATTCTAATTTTCTAATAAAATGATGGAAATAGGTGAAAAATTTCTCCAAACATGCACAAAAACAGCCAAGCGCGCATACGCAGTCAAGTAGTGGGGGAAGATCAGGAGATGAGGGGCAGATATTCCATTTTGAATATTGTTTGTTATAGTACGTATAGTTTAATATTATTGTAAGTGGTGACACATAATAAATAATACCAGTGTCATAGAGTGTACAAACGACTCCAATATAGCAGAAGCATCTATCTACAGGGTGATTCACTATATTTTGACCCCCCCTTTAACCCTTTTGTTTTAAGAGATAAAAAAAATTTTAAATATAAAAGTTGCACAATTTTTTATGAATTTTTCGAAAATTATAGTAAAAAAACAAATGAAGTCCAAACAAAATGGCCACGGACTTTGTTAAGTTAAATGGAACACCTTGTATATTTTTACATATTTGGATAGAACGTACCTTGTAGAGCATAGCCATATAGGGTTTGTTGGGTCCATCTCTAACAATAAGCAAAATACTTTAAAAAAACGAAAAGAAGGCTTTTTATTAAGAAAATAATACATCTTGTAATTGTTAGACCTCTTTCAGGCATTTCTGCCTTTTTTCCAATTAAATAAGGATTTACAGATTTAGTTATAATATATTTTGACAGATGGGTCATTGATACGGTCCAAAATGCGTATAGGTAATGTAACGACATCTCACTTATTAGGCCGTGAGAGGTCTAATTACTCATGGACATTATATGGTATGTCGTGACAGTGACGGGTAGTAATGTCTTGACAACATTGTTATTGATTGACAGTATGTATTATTATTTAATTAAAATAGGTTACACAGAAGTAGAAAATTATTTAGAATTAAAATAGAGAATGGAGAAGAACTTTGCTATGTTTTAATTCCTATAATATTCCAATTTTTTACTTCTGTGTAACCCATTTTAATTAAATAATGATACAAACTGTCAAACAATATCAATGTTGTCATGACATTACCTGTCACTGTCACGGCCTACCATATAACATTGTCCATGAGTAATTAGGCCTCTCACGGCCTAATTAGTGAGATTTAGTTACAATACCTATACGCATTTTGGACCATATCAATGTCCGATCTGTCAAAATATATTATAACTAAATTTGTAAAAAACCCTTACATAATTGGAAAAAGGCAGAAATGCCTGAAAAAGGTCTAACAATTACAAGATATCTTATTTTCTTAATAAAAAAAAAACTTCTTTTTGTTTTTTAATAGTATCTCGCTACATGACTATGTTCGACAGGGAACATTCTATCCAAATATGTAAAAATATACTTACAGGGTGTTCCATTTAACTTAAAAAAGTTAACATCCGCCACCATTTTGTTTTGACTTCATTTTCGACTATCATTTTTGAAAAATTCATAAAAACTCGTGCAACTGTTATATTTCACATTTTTTTTATAACTCTTAAAACAAAAAGGTTAAAGGGGGCCCCAAAATATAGTGAATCACCCTGTACATCTGCCAATGGTGAATATTAAAATGCAAAATCTTTCGTTTAATTATGCATGTAAAAAGTACAGAAATAAAATGAGGAATGTCACAAACATTTTCGAGGAAAATAACTTTTTATTGTAAATTCGTGTTCATAAACGACTTAAAAATGTATCAAAATTTCCATAATGGTATACAAGAACACTTAAACCTCTTTGGAATAGAAAAGTACATTTTGTAAGACAAGTTTCAAATTCACATTTGATGTTAAGATGTCGCGAAAATGTTAAAAAATGCAGGAACAAAACAAGGAATGTCCACAAATTTCACATCATTGTGATTCCGTGTATTGGTATTATTTATTATAATATACCACTACTTACAATAATATTAAACTATGCTACAACTAACAATATTCAAAATTGTATACCTATTTATCCACTGCCCCTCATCTCTCGATCTTCCCCCACCACTCATGGAGCACGTTTGGAGGAGTTTTTCAACTATTCCGTATCATTTTATAGGAAAATTAGAATATATGTTTTGTATTATTATGTTTATGCGTTTAAAATCCCGCTAAAATTGGACCACCTCCAACCTCTAACGCATCCAGAAATTTTGCAGAATTTGCCAAAATTAACGGTCCGACAGCGCGTGCTTTGTGCACACTTAAAGTACACATAATTCACTACTTTTTTGTGCGCAGGGTCAGATCTACAACTTAAAAAATGACGGAGAAATAAATTAAAAAAAAAAACGCTAAATTTTTCGATTTTTCCGGGTTTTCTTCGTTTCTAATTATCCGATCGGACCGGTCGACATCTCGTTTTATTCTGTTTTGATTATCTATAAATTGTCTCTTTATAGCATCCAGATTGCTTCGTTAGTTTTGGTTTTATAAGAAAAAACTAACAAAAAAATGGGTTCTTTTGCATAAAAATGTTTATAAAATATTAATTAATGGTAAATCGGAGTATACTTATAGTGTACAGACTGTTTTTTATATGATGGCACAGTCCGTTGGCTACTAGTGTTTTGTCACAAAATCACTGATTTAATGCTTTATTGATGGGCCTATATCAGTAGTTAGGGGTCTTGACTGTGAGGTTGGATATCTTTGACATACCTAGATTTCTGGTATCAAAGAAAATTGTTTTAACTTCATTTGATAAAATGTTTTAGAAAAAAGGTGTATTGAGTGTATGAGTTTCTCTTATCAGGTTGTGGCAGAAAATACTAATTTGTAGAACAACTTCTCTTCTAAGTAATTGGAACATGATTTTTAATATTTTTGTGCAACCATGATAGTATACAAAATTTTTACATTATAAAAATATAAATGTGATAATAGCGATTATTAAAACGGTTTCTTTTAGATATATCATGGAAACCAATACATGGTGTTTAAAAAATATAAAAACTGGGGAAATCATTTCTATCTCGAAGTCTGTATTTAGAGTGGGCAGAAATATAAATGCTGATTTAACTTCACTTACTAATTCACTATCAAGGAATCATGCTACATTTTCTATTTTAATAGACGGTTTGCTTTATCTTCAAGACAATAATGTAAGTATTAAAAAAATATATATTTTAATTAGAATGTAATTTGCATAATTTTATACAGGATGTCTGTTAAAAAATGGGCCAAACTTTACCACTAGATTCTACGATGAAAATTAATTGGGATGGTCATATACAATGTTGCTCATAAACGCTTTGTTTTCGAGATACAGGGTTTTGAAGTTGAAAAAATTAAAATGATTTTCAGGCACATTTCAGAGATACGTTAAGGGATTTTTTTCTAATTTGATATGAGAAGTTTTAAAGGGAACCTACATCATTTGCTGCGATTTCATGTCAATACTAGTCCGGTCAAATTAGTCATAAAAATAGTGGTCAAATAACGAAAATTCCGACAGAGCTAAATTTTGGTGGAGACCTTGGGTACACCATTAGAAATAAAGTGTCAAAAGTCCCCACCGATCTCATGTGTGCTAAAAAAGTTATTTACGGTCAAAAGTCAAAGTTTGAGGTTTTTGAATTTTTCTCAAAAACGGTAAGTTTTATCAAAAAAGTAGCTCGGACAAAAATTATAGATCTGAAAATTATCTACAAAAATGGTCCTTTTACTTTTTTTCTAAGAACCACCATTCCTGAGATATCGCGATTTTAACAGTTAAAGGAGTCACATTCTACATGATATGCACATATATGCCACATATATTCATAGTCAGGCACTTAATGCAAGTAAAAATGCCTATTTGTGTCTTGTATGTATAAACTATACTATTCTGAGAATATTCACTCAAAAGAAACTCACTCCCTTAGTCAAAATGACGCAGATGTCCTTATAATTGAAACAGCAATAGAACAATTTAATGCAACAAATACAACTATTGTAGTTGGTGAAGATGTTGACTTATTAATACTACTCACTGCNGTTGGAGGAAGTGAAGACAAATTAAATGTATTCTTTGTCACTGACTTGGCGAATCGTTTATATCTAAGACTGTCCAGAGAATCATCATCTTTATTGCCACCATATAAAGAGATGAAAAAACGTTCGCCAACGGCAGTGAGCAAAGTAGGGTCGACTCTCTCATTGAGAAATAACGCTGTTCCACTAGCTAACTCAGGACGTGTCTCCAGGGTTGTGAGAAATTTCATTTTACCGATGTTGTAAGCTGCTGAAGTCGTGTCACATCCTGAGAAGGCATGGAGAAACAACAGATTATCCACAATGACGTCTCCGTACATAAAACTTGACAGACAATATAATTTCTCGGCTGGGTTTAAAAAAAATACATTTGAATGTGTTCTTCCAAATGCCGTGAGCAAGACAAAAATGTCGATATCTTCGGCGACAATAGTGATTGAGTCGAACGATTGGGATGCAGCAAGAGCGGAGCGAACGATGAGCGTATCTGCATCTGATTCTGCTTGGTCGACACTGAAACCCACCTCGTCCACAAAATTCAAAATAGTGTCCACAAAACTCAAAATACTTTTCATAATTAAATATGTTACGCACGCACGTGGTAGCACAACTGGAAGAAAATTTTGAAGGACACCTCCTATGCCTAATCATTCATATTAATGTATACTTACTAGTAAGGATACATTAATATGAATTAATGGAGAATAGTGTGAGTTTCGCATCGCTGTAAAACCCTAATAAATACATAAAATTTGAAAAAGTTTGTAATGGAAATTATTCCTTAAAAACCCCTCTATCAAAATGCTCTGATGTAATTTTTTTGTAAAATGACCAGAAAAAAAGTTATAACGACCAAAAGAAAATTCGTTCCCAAATTTTTACCTGTTATCGTTAATAACTTTGTTATTTTTGATTCTACGACTAAAAGTTACAGAACCAAATTTGTAGAGAATTTAATATGCAACAAAAAATGTATTTACAAATTTTCTGTGCAACGAATAGTTTTCCCGATATAGTAAGTAGTAGTATGAAAACCATTCGCAGCCCTTTTTACAAGATGGCGGCCGATGCACAAGGGTTGCGACCCCACAAACATGGATTTAACTTTACACTAACCCCTTCTTGACACCGTTAAATAATCGGATAGTTAAATTGTTATTTATGAATACGCATTTGTAACGTACAATATAGGTTATGTCAATCTATTCGTCTGATTAGTTCACCAATTCCTTTAATCGATTTTAATTAGTAGTTTTTGACTTTTAATACAATGATATTTAAATTAAAATTTAAAGAGAATATAAACCAAGTCTGAGTAAAAAATTACTCAATAATAGTTAATCAGATTAGAGAAAAAGTCAACTCTAAACTGGTTTTATATATTCAAAATAGAGTCAAAAGTTACTCAATTGATAGTTAACAGTAACTCGGATTTGAGTAAAACTCATTTCTGATGCAATAGTCTCTCTTAGTTGTAGGGTAGTGTGGGGCAGGTCCGGACGGTTTTGGCTAATTCACTTTAACAGCTAACTATAAACTTTATTTAAGTAAATAATTTAAACGATATGTTCTTTTATGGCTTCGGTAACTATATTTATGTTTTGATTAAGCAAAAAACTAACAACTTTTTTGTAAAAAAATAAATACAAAAAAGTAACATCTGTCCGCACCTACCCCACCCTTGGGAACATTCGGACAGTCGGTGGGGTAGATCCGGACAAATTGGAAAAAAGACAAAAAGAAGTAAAGAAATATAATTTATTTCAAAATTAGTGAGTCAAAGTTTACATTAAATTTCAGGAAACCAGCCAAACGAGATATTCTTGGAACAGACAGTAGCTTTGGTAATTTAGATACTATATCATTTCTTGAACCTAGTGAAATGTCATCTACAAGATGAAAATTGAACCGATTCTTTGAATGTCATAGAAACTTGACTGTAAATTCACCGTATTCAGCGAGCCCTATAACCTGTCCAACATAGTGAATGATGTTTTTTTTTGTCGGAAATTTCACCAAGACAAAATCATCGCAGGTGATCTCTACATCATCTGAAATAAAAGGATAGAGTAATTTTAGGAACAAATATTCACAAATCAAAATCTTCTTTTACCTAATAGTTTGTTAAAGTCTTCAACATCTGATGGATTCATCTCAACATCAGAATCAGACGAATAAGTGTTAAATTTATTTCTTTTTAATTCTTGCTCCAGATCTGATTCAGATGATGAAGAATGCATTTATTTGGGTCTACATTTCCTAGGTTTCTTCTTAGTAATATTCATATCTCGTTTTATTTCCATTCCTTCATCCATAAATATCTTCTTTTTGGTTCCGGTGATTTTAACCTTCGTTTTGCGGTTTGCTTCCATCTCTTCAACTCTGGTCTTCTCAGGAGTGCTGGTATAAATTCTCGATTTTCCCAACATTGATTTTCTGTTAGTTTTTCGCGCTCCCGCCTTGGGAAACGGTTTAATACCTGCAGGTTTAACGGAAATATTTGAAAGTATGATTATCGATAGTCGTGTAACCTTATCAACAATTTCGGTGAGTAAAGAGCGCATCATCAAAGTGATTTCTTCAGTGTCATCGTTTTTAAGTGCAGGAATTGAAGTTTTTGCTGTTGTTGGATTGATAACATCAGGTGCAATCATGCTAATTTGCGACGATGTACTGGGAGTGTCGTATACTGACAAAGATATGGTAGTTTCTTGATTTTCTTTGTCCTGGGGAACTGGACGATCTGTGGCGTATGCTCCAAAAAACTCGTCGTCGGTAAAAATAAGTCTATTTATGGGCCAGAGTCCAGTAGAAGAAAATGCGTTTACTATATTCTTTGGAGTAAAGCTCTGTAAAAAAGGTTCAGCCATTAATTTTGCAACCTCATATATAGTTATCTGTTTTCCAGGATTGCTAAGGAGGTGATCATTGAATGACACCTTGCACCTCTGCTTGAAAGGCCCATATACCGCTTTGTCCAGGGGTTGCATCCTGTGGGTACAGTGAGGTGGGAAGGACAATAAAACGATACCATTATTTCTTGCGTAATTAATTGCATCTACCGACACATGTGTTTCATGGTTGTCAAGAAGTAAGAGGATCGGGCTCTCTGGGCTGCTGCGGGTATGATTTTTTATATGCTCTAACAGTTTTACAAATATTGCTGTTGTCATCCAACCAGACTTTGTGCCAAAGGCTACTGATCCAGGTGGTGCACCGTGTAAAAATGTTGTTTTATTCGAACACGTGGAAAAATATATAACGGGGGAATTGTATTACCCGTGGCAGAAATTGTTCCGCAAAATGTCACTGTTGTTCCGCTTTCTGCCGATACGCATTGACCTACAACCCTTTTTCCTCTTTCGGCAATAACCTTAGGAGCTTGCATTACTGTAGAAACGCCCGTCTCGTCGGTATTCCAGATACGACTTGGTTCGAAGCTATATTTCCTTTGGACCTCTTCATAGTTATTGAAGAAAACGTAGACATTGTACTTGTTAAAAGCTGATGCCCTAACAACGCTTGTGTTTTCCGGTTTACGTAAAGAAAGTCTCGGATGGCGATTCATAAAAGACCTCATCCATTCAATACCAGCCATTTGATTTGTATGCCACTGCTGTGGAAATTTTTTCTGCAATTTTAGTGCATATTCATATGCTACCTTGCGAGTGGATAAATATGTTAAACCGTACAAAATTCTTGAACGTTGCTTGAGGTAAATCTCCAATTCAGTTTCCTCCTTTGTGGAAAAAACTTTCCGAGTTGCGTATTGTGATAAATCATCAAATGTTTCTTGGTCACTTTCGTTTTCAGAATCAGACCTTACATCGGAACCTTGCTTCTTACGTTTAGATATCCGGTCATATAAAGTAGACTTTTTTATATTAAATGAACGTGCTGCAATTCTAATCGACATGGTTCTATTTAACACAGCTGATACAGCCAATTTAATTGCTTCTTCAGAAACTGCAGGTGTGTTTCTCTTTTTGACGTATTTTCTAACCATCCTAAACTAGGACATTGTTAGTTATATTAAAAGTTTTCAAAATAGATATATGTCCGGAAGTGCCCCATTCGTGGGGCAACTCCGGACAGTGTCCGAATGTGCCCCAACTTTCATGTCCGGATGTGCCTCACCTGTTCACAAGGTCTTTCACAAATACGTACGTCTATACTACACTACCAAAGTCGCTTAATTGCAGGTTATGTTACGCGTAAATATAGGTTCTTTAACATGCATTACTTAATAGGTTCATTAATATACCATGGAAAAGTTTATAACGTTAGGTATTTTTTCTGGAATACTTACTTTTATGTGTCACTTTCACTTTTTTGCAAATAACTTTAGAAACATACAAGATAACAGCTCAATTGTAACACGTGTGGCGATCAAATCATGACTGCTACTAGTACCCCTGACGGCAACTTTCTAAACATTATGGAAAGCGGGAAATTTGAAACGTCCGGAGGTGCCCCGTGTTGGAACCTACCCCACTCTACCCTATATATGTGTCATCTACCATTTTATCTAATTTGCACTGGAATACTCTATCCATGAAAGATGGGTGGTCACTCGCGGTATAACCTGCGTTAATATTGTCCACTATTNTGAGGGGTGGTTATTTCAACCCCTTTCGAGGGGTTAAAATTTTCGAAAAATAGTTGAAAACTCGCATCTGTATTAGTAAACAACCTGTAAAAAATTTGTTATTTGTACCTCGTTCGGTTTTCAAATTACAGCCAATTTTCATAATTTTTTTGGAAACTTTGATGGCCCATATCTCTTCAGGGGTGAACATTTTACTAAGGCGATTTTTTGCAGATCGTGTTCTTTTGAAATGTAGATTCACTGGTATCATTTATGCTACTCCAATCAAAGACACCCTATATAATATTTTGGAACCGATTCAAACTTTACTTCCACCTGCTCTAGAAAAACTCCTAAACACTATTTTTTGCAATTGCAAAAAAGGTTGTGCTAAATCTGGCAGTAGAAGAGTAGGGTTACTGTGTTCTCCAGCGTGTACTAATTGCCAAAGCCAGTCAAATGTCCAATTGAATACAACGTGATTTCGATGAAGAGACACCTGATTCATCTTCATTTGAACAATTTATGAACATCCAGCAAGAAGAAGAGGAAGAAGAAGAAGAAGAAAAAGAAGAAGACATGACTGTTGAAGTCGACTTTGAAGAGTATGAATGAGATTAAAATATCAAAAGAAATCAGAACTACAGTTACAGTTAATAACCAATATCAATATCAATAATCATCATACAATTAAAAGAGTATTGTCCCTGAAAATTCCGTCATAACAGTTCGTGGAGTAGGCCTACCAGGGAAACCACGTTAAAAAAAACGCGTCAAAGTACACTACCTCACAGGTGCTGTGGAAATGTGTGTATATCATGTAGAACATGACTCCTTCAACTTTTAGAATCGCGATATCTCGGGTATGGTGGTTTTTAGAAAAAAAAAGTATAAGGACCATTTTTGTAGATAATTTTAAGATCTATAATTTTTGTCAGGGCTACTTTTTTGATAAAACTTACCGTTTTCCAAAAAAATCCAAAATACTTCAAATTTTGACCTTTGACCCCGAATAACTTTTTTAGCACACATGGGATTGATGGGGACTTTTGACACTTTATTTCTAATGGTGTACTCAAGGTCTCCACCAAAATTTAGCTCTGTCGGAATTTTCGTTATTTGAAATGTCTATTTTGACCGGGCTATACAAAAAACCAATATATACCAAACTATATTTTCAAGACCCTTTTCTAAAAAATAAATGTTACGCTACTGCGTAAAGGGAAATAAATAACATTCTTCAAATTTTCAGTGATTTTTCAGCATAAAAGGTATACTTGTTGAATATCGCTGAGAGACACCATTTTTGAAGGAACTGCATTATAGTTATAGTTACGTAAATAAAAGAAGACCTTCCAAAATATAGCAGCAAATTAATTTATGAAAAGTTGGTAACCTTAACTTTTTGTTAAAATAACAAAATTGTTGAATATACAGTATGTCCACAGATAGAGCTTATAAGAGGACAAATGGACCAAAAAGTGAAAGATACGAAAAAAGGCATTCTTGATAAAAGTTTTTACTTGTTTAGAAAATACGAATCACCATGACAAACTTCAATTTTTTTGTACAGGGTGGGTCAAAAACAGAAAAATGTTATTTCGAGTAAGAGTAAACATACTTTATTTTGCAAGATACGAAAAAAGGCATTCTTGATAAAAGTTTTTTCTTGAAAAATAAATTAGTCACTTTATAAAAAATTTAATTAAGTATTATCTAGCACACCTCTTATCAGAGTACCTAGAAATGCTTGATACATTTTTTGACGCAGAACTCGACCATTTACTATTCAATTTTCGCCAAAAAAATGTATTTTTAATAGGATGTTTGTCCAGCATATTGTGCTCATGAGAATGGCTTAACCATAGATTTGATCTAAGATGGATTGGTAAAAATGGTTCAATTTTGTGACTCCCAAAGAGCCCTGACTAAACCATGGCCGATATGATTCTATGGGGCCGTTTAAAACAAATTGTTTATGCTTCTCCAATACCAAATAATACTGAAATGCTAAAAGACAGAATTACCCAGGCTGTCCGTTCAATATCCCAAGAAAAAATCAGAAATTCCTTCAGATATCTAAGGAAGCAATTAGAAAAATGTGTTCAATATGGGGGTGGCGTTTTTAAAATTTGATATCTTCATCATATTGCTTTGCTTACTTTTTTCAGCTTAATTGTTGTAATTATGTTCGTATTATTTAAAAATTACACTTGAGTAAGATGTATAAAAATTAAATTTTTCTCGACGTGACGTTAATTTTTCAAGCAAAAACTTTTAATAAGAATGCCTTTTTTTCGTATCTTGCAAAGTAAGGTATGTTTACTCTTACATAAAATAACATTTTTGTGTTTTTGACCCACCCTGTACAACAAAATTGAAGTTCGTCATGGTGATTCATATTTTCTAAACAAGCAAAAACTTTTATCAAGAAAGCCTTTTTTCGTATATGTATTTCACTTTTTGGTCCATTTGTCCTCTTGTAAACTCAATCCGCGGACTTACTGTATATATTTTTTTATTATTTATTAAAGCTTGACAAATAGTGAAATTAAAATGTGGTTTCTTTATAGGTTTAAACTTAAAGAATGAGTAATTTTCATATTTTTTATTAATAAAAACATTACCTACAATTTAATTGTTTGATATCTTCTAAAATTTCTGTTGTCAAATTATACTGAATCTACTACCAATACTATGATAATTAGCAACCTTTAAATTATATATTAAACCGTTTAACTAATATAGTACATGTCTATCAAAATTCTTTTGCCTCTATTTTTTACGTGTGTACAATATCAATTGTAATGTAAATACAGATTTCATTTTTTTAGAGCTGTAATGGAACTTTTGTTAATGATCAGAAAATTCAGTCCATGGAAATGATATTAATTCACGAAGGAGATACCATTGGATTTGGCTGTTGCGAAGATCTTTGTAAAGATCGAAATTTTGATACTCCTCCTTTAATATTCACAGTTTTGAAAAAAAATAATGAAGCACCAGGGACGGTCCTCGTAAGTATGTTCTTAACATCAAATGAGGGATATTTCATATTTGAAATATTCATTAAAAATATGTTTGTATTGTTTAAAAAACTAAAAAAATGCGATTTTTTGCATAAAAATGTTTATGAAAAATTAATTACTGGTAAATTGGAATAGGAAACATATAAGCATATATCTCCAGACTGTCTTTTATATGTTGGCACAGTCCATTTGCTACTAGTATTTTTGTCACAAACAAAACATCTATTGATTAGCCTATACTGGTAACGCCAACTGCCTGAGATGTTTTTAAATTTATTTTATTCTCAATTAATATTTTATGGTTTCTACATTAACACCACATCCATCTAGAGTCACTTAATTGTAAATGTAAACTATGAATGTTTCTGTATTGTGCTTCTTATTCCGTCACCCCTAATTGTAGGTTAAAATTACAATTAGTTTAATAATTTTGTATCTGACATGTTCCTTGCAGATTTGATTGTAGTGTCGATTTAATGTATCATTTATGAATCAAATGACTGCCATTGTCTTGCCTTCCATTCCATAGTTAAACCATTACTTCTTCTTCAAAGTTTCGATGACTGACGTAGTGGTGAGCATCAAATTAAGTCTTCATTTGAGCTTATTCAGGGGTGAGGTTGCTTGTAGAATTTGAGATAGATTGAAAATGTCGGAAAGAATTTGTTTGATGTCTAAAAAATATTTTAGAATTATTACGATTGCTTAATTCTTGGTGTGGTTTGTATTTATATGTTGTCACTATTACATCAATACTGTGCAAATACTGTGTGTTAATAGATCTCTTGATCGCTTGAATCATCTTTCGGGTGAGATCGTTTGTCGTCAGACATTCCAGGCCAGGAAAAATTATGTCTAACCAAGTATTTCATTCTATGAATCTTGGATGATCAAGGTGTAGAAAACCAGAATACCAATATGCTCAAAATGTAATGAGAATGTCATTACACTAACAAATGTAAAAGGAATTTTCTCCCCAAATGCACTGCATGCACAGCAGAGCATCACCAGGCCTGATCTATTAAACATCCCAAAACTACCAACGAAATCAAGAGAGGGCATATTCCTGTAAAAAATTTAGATAAAAAGTTCTTTGAAAATCCATGATTTAACTACATATGTATTATTGACAAACTAAATAAGCGAAAACATAGTGATAGTGAAGAGACACTTTAAATTATGAAAAATATTCATCAGGGATTATAACATGGACTCTCCGGTGTCTTTTTTTTTCTGGTAACCTTGGAGTTAATAACATTCAAATTCACGCATAAATTATATATTTTTCACAAATGTGAATAGTTATTACTCAAAAAGACACAATAATACAATTAAAAAAATAATATAAACTGTGCACTGTTTGTTGGATTCAAACTTAAACCAGAAAGACTAACTACCAAAATTGAAGTGCAGTTGCATTCTGCATTAATTTGGGAAAACTAAATCCGCCCAGTGGGGAGATGTCGAGATCAGAAGCAAGAGAAGATTTTAGAAAAATAACAAATCTACAAGGTGTTTTGTGTAAAATAAAAACAAATTTGATTTACAGATCCAAAATGCAACTTTTTACATATTTTTTTTAAAGATAAGAGGAGTAGAATGTTATGTGAATGTATCTGTACAATCATTTATGAAAATGCATTTCAAAGAAACATTAACTATAGTATTTTTTGTAAATATAATGCTTCTATATTGCCTAATTTGTTGTTTCATTAAGTGATCTTTATCTGATATACAAGATGTTCCTTAATGATGTGTGAATATTTAAGGGTGTGATTCTACATGGAAAATTAGTGATAGTTCACTTTATTTAGCTATGGTCCAAAAATGTTCCGTTGTGAAAATATTGAATAACTATCATGTATTACACCTACCTTATGACCATAAATAAATATAAAAAGATATCTCGTTTCTTTTCCATATATCTATCGAGTCATGTTGGTTGAGTGGTGAAGACGTCTAGTTTAAGATATGGTTTCTGAAAGGAAGCATGCGTTTTTTAACCAAAAGATATGTTGCCAGAACTTGGATTCAAACCGAGGTCTTTAAATTTTCAGTCTGGCGCTCTACCCACTAAGCTATTCTGACATGTAAATAAATGTTAATTTAAACCACAAAAACTGATATATAAAACTTAGCTTACATATGTATATAGTAGCAGCAGTCTGTCTATCTAGTGATGGCTTTGGCAACTTCCTGCATTCCAATAAACCGATAGCGATTTCATGTTAGTTCTAGTCGTCTTATCATTATATATACACATAATAATAATAAATACTAAAATTCAACATTAACAATTAGTATACGTAATTCAAACAGCAGTAGCATGTCTAGTAACCTTGGCAACTTCCTGCATTCCAATAAGCCGATAGCGATTTCCTGCATGGCTTCTTATCACATGTTACTACAGCTCTTATTAGCTTCCTATTTGCGCTCATCACCTTATCGTTATGTATACAAATAATAATAAATACTAATAAAAACTAAAATACAACATTAAAAAATTATAATTCAAAGATGGCGGCATGCCGCACCCCGCCATCTTCACATCCGGCTCTGCAACCATGTGATATAGCCGCCATTTTGCAGCTACGACCAATCACCTACCTCCTTTCCAACCACCATGTAGCATGCCGCCATCTTCACACCTTTTTTTATCCTTCCTCCCTCAATTCTTCAATTTAGGAACTAACCGTTTAGGCATAACATCTAAACTGAAGAACTGACCGTTACTGTAACTATAACTAAACTGTATCCAATCAGTAAATTTCGAACAAAAAAATAAACTAAATTTGGAACAACAAACTAAACAAATAAATATGTATATACTGAAATGAACAAAGAAATAAATAAATAAAATAATAAATCCTATAAAATATGTGGAAGAAATCATTGACTAGAACAAGGTGCGTATAAATAAGGGTTAAAACAAGTTACTAGTTGACTAGAACAGAGTGCGTATAAAAACAGAAAAAAAAAATAATAATTTAAAAAAATAATTCACTAGAAGGAGATATAATAAAAACTATAACAGTTAGTCACGACTTTATACTCTATTTGATTGTTGTTGTCTCTCCTCTTTTTTTTAGTCTTCATAATTTTCCAGACATATCTTACTACACAGTTTCATTCTTCTTTGGATTTTAGCATAACTTGTATGATGTTATCGGGGTGTATCTATACTCCGAGTGCGATTTCCAGCTGTGTCTTCTCCCTCGCCCATCTCTGGCACTCAAATATCATGTGTTCTACATCATCCTCCTCTCCGCAACTAACATATCGTTTATCGGGGCTTTTGCCGATTTTGTGTATACCTCCTAAAAATCCCATGTCCAGTCAGTACCTGGGTCAAATAATAATCCAGGTCACCGTGCTTTCTCTTTCTCCACACGTCTATCGTCGGTATAAGTCTCCTTGTCCAAGTTCCCTGTAGACTGTTTTCTCACTCATTTTGCCACTTATTTCCGTCCTTACCTCCTTCCTGTTTCTGTTTGTGGTATATATTTCTCTCCTTTCCCTTGCTATCCAGTCTATAGGAACTAATCCTGCCACGACCGTGGCCGCCTCATACGATACGGTCCTGTAAGTTCTACACCCTCGTAAGGCCATTTTCCTCTGTACCCTCCTTAGGGCATTCCGATATGAGGCCACACTCATCGCCTCTGCTCATACTTCCGCACCATATAATATTATCGACTGGGCGACGTAGCTAAGCACCTTGCGTTTAGCATTGCCTGGTTCTTCTAAATTTGGTAACAGCCTTATCAATGCCATTACTGTTTTATCTGCCTTTAACGCCAAGCTTATATTTGGGCCAAAAGTTACTGAGGTGTCTACGAACAGCCCCAAGTATTTCCCAACTTTTTTTGATGTTATTGTCATCTCTCTTAATTTAACCTCAAAGTCTCGGTTCCGCCTTGCGAATTTCAGACATATAGTTTCCGTCTTTTCCGGCACCAGTTCCAGGTCTTGACTTTCCATCCAGTACGCTATCTCTTCCAACGCCTCATTTATTTTATGAATCACTTCTTCGAAATCTCTATGCCTTCCTACTATCATTAGGTCATCGGCATACCCCACCAGACTGACTCCTTCTGGCATAATTAACTTTAGAACCATGTCATACATCGCGTTCCATAAAATGGGTCCCAGGACTGACCCCTGTGGCACACCGACGTTCACTCTACGAATACACTCTTTCCCGTACGTTATCTCTCTATTCGACAAGTAATCTTTCACGACTTCCACTAGATCTGGTTTAACGTTCATCCTCACAAACGCTATTTCTATGTTATTCCAACCTACCGAGTTAAAGGTGCTCTTTACGTCAACCATTGTTGCTATGCACCATTATCTTTGTTGTTCCCTATTTGCCTCCCTGGCTATATCGATTACTCTAGTCATAGCGTCCACAGTAGACCTCCCCTTATGGAATCCGTATTGGTCGTCAGATAACAAGTTTTTACTTACGAATTCCTCTACTAGTCTATTTTTCATAAGCTGCTCATACAGCTCCCCGAAGGTATTTATTAAACAGGCTCTTTCCCATTTTTCAATTTCTTTGCGGCATCTTCCAATTCCCCCTTCGTAAAAGGCTCTATAGTTCCTTCCGGTCTTCTCGTCCATATAATCTCCTCTCTCCGCGGAAATAGTTTATCTACCCATTTTTCTCTTTCCTCCTCTGTCATCATTATTTGTGGTTGCAGTATTTTCAATTTATTCGTTACCAGCCTGTCCAAACGGGTTGGTATCTAGTTCGCCTACAAGATTTCCCCAACATTTCCTTTTGCTAGGCTTTATACAGTTCTTCAGTTCTTTCTTTACTTTATCATACTCTCTCTTTATCATCTCTATATCCGTACAACCACCTGGATTTCTTTTCCTACTTCTGGTGAGATTTGTCCTAGTTTCGATCACTTTACTTCTTATGCTAGCGATTTTGTTCGTCTACCAATATGGAATTCTTCCTGCGATAGTTCTCACCTTCCTTGTTGTTTTGCAATATGCTCTTTTCAGAACTGTTGTTAACCATTCCGGCGTCTCTCCTGTCTCTTGTTTAGCACTATGTCTCAGCTCTATAGCGAGCTTTGTATTATCCACCGGCCCATATTTCCATGTCTCGTCCCTTTCTTTACCCGGCTGCACCAAAGTAAAAGTTATGTACTGATGTGGGTTAAAGGAAAACTCGTTTTCCATTACTCTCAAGTTTCTTACTCTGTTTAACAAACTCTCTGATACTGCTGTAATGTCAATGATGGTTCCCGTGTCTCCTCTTACAAACGTTTGTACTTTCCCGTTATTGATTGGGAAGATATCTGGTGTATACATCATTGTACTAAGAATATGTCCTCTCTCATCCTCAACATTTGATTCCCACATTTCCGAATTTGCGTTAAAGTCCCCCGTCAATATTACCTTTTTTGTGTCTCCTGTTCTTATATCCTCCACTAAATTCCTAACATATCTATCAAAGACATCCACTGTTACATTCGGGGAGATATAGCAACTGCATATTCTGTAGTCACTAATCTGGGCCCATAGATAGCCTTCCCCGCTGCCCACTCTTGTTATCTCATGTGATTTTCCCACTATGCCAATAGCCACATCTTTACGTCTATTCGAATACCATTTAGAATTACTGAGGGACGCCATATGTGGCTCGCTGACTAATATGTCATTAGCCTTAATCTCTGCAGCTGTGGCCCACGCTAATTCCATAGCTGCGCTGCATCTATTTGCATTTATTTGCAGAAGTGTGATCATTGCACCTTACCAGGTAAGGTCCTCCCCCTTCGTTTTGCTTCAGCCAGGGCCTTTCGAAATTTGTCATATCTACTACTACCCATTTTGTGCCCACCCTGATTGCAGATAACGCATCTGGTTTAATTTTTGCACTCCTTGTATGTATGGTCATCATCCCCATAGTTATAGCATTTTTGCTCTATCTGGGACCTTGTAATCTTTAGCCTCATGATCGAACTCCCAGATCTATAGCATTTTGGAACCTCTATTCTCTTCTCCATCATGCAACTCACCATGCCTACCCTCATCGGTCCCGTTGCAAGCAGAGTCTCCATCCTGCCCTAGGAATTGTCACCATCGTGAATTTCATCTTATTCTTCTTCGGTCTCAGATCGCTTACTATAATATCTGTTTCTATCATGTCTCCGATCTTTTCTTTGACAGCTCTCATCGCCTCCTCCTTACTGGCCAGCTCATCTAGTCCCCTAATGTGGACTACACCTTTTTTTTGTCTACTTCCAGCCTTCCTAACACTTAGGTCTGCCTCTTCTATTGTCTTTTGTAGCCTCTCTAGCTCTTCCTCACTTTTTTCCATAATGATCAATACATTTCCTTCTTTTGTACTTCTAATCCTCTTAATAATTTTCCCAACGCTCTTTTAATTCTTTCAAGCGTTCCCCCATATGTGCTTTCTCTCACTTCAGTCACTAGGGCATAAGTTTTTCTTTCCCTTATTCTTGTCTTTTCCCCTGTCACCTCTTCCGTTTTCCTCCTTTCCTTTTTTCGCTCCCTTCTTTTATATAATCTTATTCTACATTCCATTCCATGAAACGTAGCCTCTATCATTTTCCGATATATACTCAAATCAGGAGCCGCAGGTACATTGATAGCCACATTACCATCCAATTTAACTTCTTCCTTTAACATACTTAAAACCCTCCCTAGATTTTCCTCCGTTCCGTCCCATCTCAATCTAATTATCTTCTTTGATTTATCTTTCTCCCTACCAGCCAATCTTTGTCGTCTGTTCTAGCACTTCCATTTCCTCTTCTGATTCAAAGATGTCAGGGTATTCCTCCATCTACCTCTTATCTGCTACTTCCTAGGTTACTCCTGATTTATATAAAATGCATTTTACTCTCTCCTCTGCCTCGTACAATTCCCCAACGCTAGCGTTGTGTTCTGGAAGATTTCGTCAACCCACTCCTTGTCTCTCACTTTCAGCCATTCTCCAATCGTCTTCACTTCCCCCAACTCCATTTGCCTATTCTCCTCCCGAGGTGTTTGAGTACCATACTCACGAACCTTCCTTTGCTCCGTTTGTACGTCTGCATCATATTTTGGGATTTCAGCTTCCATAAACTTATGCGCATTAAGCCATTCATTTATGGATTGTCTTTTGAATATGTTCATATTCCTCCTAATCTTGGCCGATATCTCCTTTATTTCCCGCTTCGTGTTTGGATTCTCTTCAATTCTCTTCTCTAGCTCCCCGCATTGCTTTTTAACCCGTCCAGAGTCTCAAGTATTACGAAGGCTATCAGATCTTCCACCTTCTTTACTGCTTCCACATCTCCTTTAGTTCTTGAGAAGGAGGTATCAGCCACTTTTCTTTTTTTTCCCTCTGTAAATGAGAAGGATCTCCGATGTTGAGCCATAATTCTTGTTGGTATTACCTTCTTGGGCTCATCCACAGTGATATCTATAGTTACGATGTTGCTATTTTCTCCTTTCCCTTTTTCTTTTAAACCTGCTGCTTTTTTATTTGAAGGACTATGTTCTATTGATGCTCTTCTTGACAAGAGATCAACCTCCTTTTCCTTCCTTCCAGTATCCCTACTAAAAACCCCAGCCTGGTCACCTACCAGGGGCTATCTTCACACCTGGCCCTGCAACCACGTGATATAGTCGCCATTTTGCCTCTACGATCAATCATCTGCCTCCTTTCCAACCACCATGTAGCACGCCACCATTTTAACGCCACCATCTTCACACCTGGCTCTACAACCATGTGATATAGCCGCTATTTTACCGCTACACTCAATCACCTGCCTCCTTCTTTCCAACCACCATGTAGCATGCCGCCATCTTCACACCTGGCCCTACAACCACGTGTTATAGATGCTACGACCGATCACCTGCCCTCAGGCCCGTACCACCAACACGCATCCACCCCCATGCCGCTACGTGTCATGCCGCCATGTAACACGCCGCCATCCGCCATCTTACCGCCACGGTCAATCACCTGCCCTCAGCGTCCTACCACCAACACACGACCCCCATGCCGCCATGACACTTCTTACATGCCACCACCCAGCTCAAGAACCCTTCAGGACCACCCCAGAAGCCAATGACCACAAGGCGGACCCTCAAGCTCGATGGACGCTGGCCATCGGAACCACTTCCAGTCTAGAAGCGGCCTCACTCATCTATTTACGGGGTGTTAAAATTTTAGGAAAAAGTAAATTAATTAATATTTTCGAAATCGCTTGAGTTTATAAAGCAAATCATCATTAATTTTCCATATATAATTACACCCTTAAATATATGTATATCATTAAGGGACACCCTGTATTATTATTCACAATTAATATCAGGTTTTAAAGATGAAAATTTTGTAACGCTGTTAATTTTCACAAATTTTTTAAATATTACTGGACAGCCAGTGCCAAAAAGAATGAAGGTAATTGTGTAAATTTATTTCAGAAGACAAAGGAAGAAGTGCAAACAGTGAAAGGTGAATTTTCCTCAATTCCAGATTGTATAATAATTTCGGACGAGGAAGATGATACAGATCTATTTAGTAATAGTCAGATATATAAAATTTCTGAAAAAATAAAAAGTGAACAGACGGCAGTGAATGAAAATGCGGATCCATATTACAATATCAAGCAGGAACTTGAAGATTTGGATTGTTGTGATAATAATAACCAATATATAGTTGATTTAACTGAAGAGGAAAACTGTTTTAATAAGACAAGTGATCTTTTAAATATTTTGGTAAGTAAATTAAAATTTTATAAAACAAGACTTTACAATTAATAGAGGTAAATTTGGATTACTGTAGTTTACCTTTCAAATTAGTGTTCTCGTAACTTTTCGTGGCACTCCAGTTGAATTAAAGTTTGAACGTGGAAAAATTATTAGTAGACATTTTATTGCACTTTATGACGGAGAAGGGTATGTGGAATGATAATATCAAAAAAATAACTGGAAAGAAGTGACGTTAAGTTTGCAAATTTTTTTTGTTGCCCACGAAAATCCAGACGACCTATCAGAAAATAAGCCATTTTATGTTATAGGCAATTAAATTATCTACAATGTAAGGTACCTGAAGTCACTTTTCACCTATTTGTTAACTGTGAAATAAAGGGCGAACGCGGAAAAATCAGTTTTCGAAAATTGCCCATTGTTATTGCAAAAAGCGATTGATGTTAATGAAATTTATGGAGAAGAAGGTCAATCCAATGACCAACATGTGTGCCAAAGGCCGATTTGATTGACCGTGAAATTGTTGCTCCAGCTATTTCTTAATTAATTTCGTTTGTTTTTTTCAACTAATTGTTTAATTACCTACTAAACGTTAATTTTAGAAGTTAATATCGGAGATATAGGTTCTGATTGATCCAAAGAAATGTAATGAAAAAGAAAATTTTCAAAAAGTTGAAATTACTTAAGTAACATTTTACAACTAACAAAGTGGACGTGCAAAACAGCGTTATAAACAAATTGTCCCAGGGTCAGGTAAAAACCGCTCAGGGATTCACTCTTTTGCATAAAATAAATCACCTATGCCTCTTTGTTCCCAAGATAACTCTTTTTTTATAACCTTAATTATTAATTAACTATTGGACGTATCGGATCGGGATTTTAGAAATAATTAAAGAAAGGGTTAAACTTTTATTTTCAGAAAGTTTTAGGTTCTACTTACCTTCAAAGTTGACCCTGTGCGGGGGTTGCTTTTTATTTTTTACGGGTGAAAACTACCCCTATTCGAAAATAATTATAGAATTGTAGATTCGGGGGGTGTAATAGGTAGAAATCATCTTTAAATAAGTAATTATGATGAATTGAAAATTGTCAATCCCTAAAAACCACCCCCATGTCAGTAATCATTAAAAAATAATATTGAAAAATATTATTCAGCAACTTGGAATAATTTAATCATATAGTGATATTAAATTAAACTTTCTTTAATGTTTTAATTTTTTATTATTTAATTATAAGTTTCAACCCTTATAAAAACCACCCCTTGCAATAAAAAATCGAACAATTATATGTAGTTAAATTTTTTTTTTTTTAGTTCAAAATATAATACAATCTTTTTATTATTTAAAATGTAATGTATTTATTTTATCAAGTCTTAAAAAAACTCTTACTGATTAAAATTTGCAATCAAAAATAGGAAAAATAAGAATTTTATTTTTATGTGGATTTTAATTTTTTTATTTTTATAACAAACATTTTTTTTATTACAAATAACATAATCAAAAATCCTCTTTACTCTGGTCTTCCTTTTCTATTCTATTCCTAAAATTCCTATTTCTATTTCTAAAATATAGCTATAACGTGTACGTAGGCTGCTGGAAAAGTTTCTGCAATCCACCACGTCCAGTGGTACCAACATTCTGTCAGTGTGATATTTGAAAAATTAGACATTTCTAACCTATAAATCAATTGACAGTTTGTACTCAGCGAAGTAGTTTTGTGTGCACAGTGTTTTAAAAGAAACTGCTCAATGTAAAAATGGAACTTTCACGTGAAAATTTCTGGGTAATGATTTACTACGATTACAGATGTAGTCTTACACTAAAACTGTGCATCAATCGACTGCATTTGGCTTTTGGGGATGAAGCACCATCCGATAAGACAGTGTGTGATTGGTTTGGGCAATTCCAGCGTGGATGCGTGTATGTTAGTTACGAATTTCGAGAAGGTCGTCCATCCACGTCTGTTGTTGTCACTAATGTCGATGCGGTGCGTGAAATGATTGAGCGGAATCGACATATGACATACCGCGACATTCAGGCATCCTTGGGCATTGACATGAAAGCAATACACACGATTTTGAATGAACGAAAACTGTGCAGTCGTTGGATCTCGTACAATTTGACCGACGCTCAAAAAGAGACTCGTGTTAAATGGTGCAAAGCAATGCTCAAGAAATTCAGCCGAGGCCAGTGAAATTCGGTCGACAATATCGTTACTGGTGACGAAACTTGGGTTTATTTGTACGAGCCCGAAAGTAAACAACATCCACTGTTTGGATGATTCAAAATGAGTTGGAATGAACAAAAATACGCTTTCAGAACACTGGTTTCAGAGGTTACAGCTACAGAGTGGAAAGCATGTCTCACTAATTGGTTTGAGTGTATGCAGCAGTGTATCGATCCCAAAGGCGAATACTTTGAAAAAGAATAAACCCATTTTTCAAAATTTACTTATGTTTTTACATATCGTTTGTAGAAACTTTTCCAGCAGCCTACGTATTCATCAATGCTTCAATATACGTGTTCTGATATCTGCAAAAATATGTGATTGTTTTTTTACCCATAACTCGCTTAGTTTTTATGCTATCAAGCCCTTCAAAAAACCATTTTGTAGATTTTTTCAGGGGCTATAGGATCAAATAAGTTAAATTTTCTTTCAGCCCTTATTTTTTATAAGGGTTCGAGCTGAAAGGGGCTGAACAAGTTGCTATTTACGAATATATGCAAACTTTAAACGGCCATATCTTACTTAATTTTTATCCTACAGAAAAAAAAACAAATTTTCAAAAAAGCAAAACCTACAATTTTATACTATACAATTTTGCGTATCATTAATAGTTTTTGAGTTATTTTGAAGAAAAGACAATTTTTTCCAAAAATACAAAAATTCTCTTTTCACTTCAAGATCAACTTTTTTCAAAACTAAGCACTCTAAACCGGTCAAACTTCTAAAGCATATTACAAGTACATAAATAAAGTAAATTGCAAAGTGGTAACGACTATTTTCAATTGGAGTAGTAATTAGGGGGTGATTTTCACCTTTTTTGTCACCAAAAAAAATGCGGACCAATTTTATTTTCGTCATAATTCGCTTAAGTTTGCTAGGGACTTTCATAAAAAATAAAAATAAAGGTTTTTTTCAAGCACTTTTAAAAAGGTTCTCTGAGTGTTCCCTGAAAAATGCATTGGTTTTTGGTTATTTCAGGTTCAAACATTCAATTTTGGCGTTTGACGAATAAGAATCAACCTTCAACAAGCTATTACTCGGCTTGTATTGGGTCTACAGATACTATAATCACACCATTCTTTTTGTTTTTTTATAAGCTACATTTTTTGTAAGAGTGATTTTTTTGATAAAATACTTACTTTTTGAGTTATTCGCGAAAAACCGTCTGAAAAAGTCGTTTTTTTTGGTTAGAAAAATTACACTCACTCGCGAATAAGTCGAAAAGTATTGACTTTCAGAAAATACTTTATAGAACAAAAGTTGCTTAGAATTAGTCAATATATCCATTCCCGGAGTTATTTTCAATGAAAAATTTTTCATCCCCGAGAAGGGGTGGCATCCACCCCCAGGGTAAAAGCAACACCCGGTACAAGGTCAACTTTGAAGTAGAGGGTAAGTAGAACCTAAATCCAAATTTTTATGAAAATCGGTGCTGTTTGGCAAAATTATACGGGAAAATGGTCATTGACTGGACTAGAGGTTTTTGTCTTGAACGTTTCAAAGTCGGTTAAAAACTCTCGCGCGGCACGAGGGCGGCATTTACGCGAGTGCACCAGCCCGTCTTTTCCATAAATTTGGTCAACATCTATCGCTTTTTGCAATAATAATGAGAAATTCTTGAGAACTGATAATTCCGCGTTCGAACTTTATTTTACTATTAAGTGAATTGAAAAATTACTCTAGGTACCTTAAATTGTAGGTATTTCCTACAAATGAAATGACTGATTTTCCGATAGATTGTCTAGATTTTCGTGGACAGTAAAAAAATTGAAAAAAAAACACGTAAATTTTCCACTTATTTGCAATTTGCCAACTTAACATTACTTCTTTCGAGTAATTTTTTTGATATTATCGTTCTACATACCCTTCCCCATGATAAAATGTAATAAAATGTCTACTAATAATAATTTTTTCACGTTCAAACTGGACTGGAGTATTTAAGATTACGGTATGTTTATTTTCATTAAATTTTTAGGAATCACCAATACAGACAAGTACACATACAGTCTTGAATGAGGAAAGCTGCTTGCCTTCTAATCAGAAATACAAGACACCTCCAATTATAGAACCACATTTTGTTAAGAAAAAATTAAAAAAACATGATTCTACACCAGACAATGATAAATTTAAAAAACAAAATGACAATATTGGAAACGTTAAGTCCACTTCTAAAAGAAAGATTGTTATATCAAGCCCACTTGTTAAGAAGAAACCAAGAAGTAGCAATTTATTAACATCAAAATGTGACAAGAAGTCAATTGAAAAAGAGTTTAATAAAAGGAGCACACATAAAAGTCCTTCCGATAAAAAAAAATGTAATGATGAAAATAAAAATGCCATTTTAGAAGAACGAAAAAAAAAGTTGAAGGAAATAGCAAATAGCAATGAAAACTCCCACAGCATCAAAGTAAAAACTGCTAAACATAGGGCAAAAGTAAAAAATTCTAGTAGTAGGGGAAAATTTTTACTGGAAGGTTGCACAAATCCACAAAAAAATGTTGATAATACAGAACCTGTTCCATCTACATCTAAAACCATGTCAGAACATACGAAAATGCAAACTGAAGATCGAAAAATACAAGATACTACGATTACTAGCAATTTTAGCCCTAAAGATGACTGTGCCAGACCGAAAAGCTTGGTAAAATTTGCTAACCAGACATCACACGATTGTCAAGCTCCTGATTCGACATTTATTGAAAACAGATCGGGAATAATTTGGAAAACAGCGACAAACCTTCCAGGCTACTTGACTAAAAATGTCCCTAAAAATGTAACCATTGATGATGGTATATGCAGACTTGTACATTGGTCTGTAAACTGGCTAATGGAACAAAATAATATTGATAGAAGTCCTCCCGTGAATGGTGAGGTACAGCCTAAGCGGATGCCTTTACATTTTAAGAGTTTTTCGGAATACGTTGATACAGTTAGTGCTTTAACTATGCTTGAAGTTTGGCAGTATGTTTATCAAATGTTGTACAGTAAAGATGAAGAGAGGTAAGATTTGTAATAGTATATTTTATTAAGAGTCTGGAAATAAGGATTTTTTTCGTGCTTGTGTGACAAATTCTCGTGTGAGGCGAAGCCAAACACGGGAGGTCATACAAGTACGGAAAAATATATTTCCGGATGTGTAATGAACGATATTTTTTATTATACTTCATTGAAAGCGAAAATATGAAAACAAAACATATCATAAAAACGTTTTTATTTTCACAACAGTTAAAAGGGAATAAAAAAACATGTATAGTAAGAATATTCAAAATTAACTAACTATTAATAATAACAGGTTTTTTATTGTGCAATTCGTATTATGGCACAGGTTTAGTCTTTTTGGAGTTTCATTTTGTGAAACTGCAGTTATTGAAGCAGACTTCGCATATGTTTTGATTATCTCGAACAAATCTGTATTTTGCGAGTGAGAAGGGTTAAACAGTTTTCGTAATACCTCAGTTTTTCTTTGTATGGATTCTTCTATATATCCTTCTGCTATGTTGGAAGAACGCTATCCTCCGTGCCTTTTCAGAGTGAGTAAATCTGCGCCGCTTTCCACCGACATGGTTGCCGAAGAACGCCTTAGTCCATGCCCGGTATATTTTTAGGGGTCCTATAGTTTTAGGTATTCTGCAACAATTTTCGGAACACCACTGATGCTACGGCATCCAACGTGTTGAGCGTAACACCTGCCATTTTGATATGCAACAAATAATCTTCTGCTGTTCACAATTTTAGGTCGTAGAGCTGCATATTTACGATAAAGTGTGCAGGGCTCAAATGTACATCCTTCATCCGTAATGGTGAAACTTCTTGATGAATTTTTTAATCTTATAAAAACATGACAAGAAAGCGCTCATTATCTACCACTTCGTCTAAATTTAAAAGATTAAAAGTATTAAATCATCTCTTCTGCACGCACCAAAGATCCCTAACATTAAAATTGCTTTTGGTAATAGATATTGTCCATCTGGAGCTTTGCAAAAAAATTTGGTTACTTCTGCTGTTAAAATTTTGGACTTTTTCGCTATATAGGGTGTTTTTAAATGAAGTAGCAAAAATGGCACCAGTGAATGTAGAGCCAAAAATAAGAGGATTGAAGTAAAAATACCTTATATGATAGTTGCACCAATGAGGCGATATACCCTCTTAAAGGAGGGGATTGAAATTCACAATTTAATTTTTTTTCTTTAACACGGGGAATGCTAGAAACACGAAACTTGGCATGAGCATCCTACTAATAAAGAGACAACTTTTCAATATTTGTTCGATCATTGGCGTATTTTATAAAGGATTGAAACAGTTAACCCCATTGCAATATTTTGCTGCAAGCATAACCTAATACGTTTGTTGAAGTTATAACGCACTCGCACAAACAGTTCTTGGTTATTGCGAAGGTCATCTGCTGTCTGAAATATTCTTAAGCGTAGTTCTTCTAAGGAGGCAACAAGAGTGGCATAAACAATACTTTTTATGTGTCGCCACAAAAAGAAATCCATAGGCGTTAGGTCAGGTGAACATGCAGACCAACAGACAGGGGCATCACGACCATGACCAATCCAGCGATTCGGGTAATTTAAATTTAACCATTCTCTAACGGCAAGTGTACTATGTGCAGATGCCCCATCGTGCATATACCTGGAGCTCGATTCTTGACGGTGAGAGAATAGAATGCTCCCTGGGGAACGTTCCCTCATTTTGTTCTACTACTGTTCTATCAGAAAATTCATACTGTATTCTCAACACAAAGGGATCGAGCCATGAAAGTGAAGAACGGGGAACAATGTTGTCAAATGTACTGACCAATCAGAAAGCAGTAAATAGGCGTTAGAATGAAAACTAGTGATGAGCTAGTCATGAAATAAGTGCTACTTTATTCAGAGTTATTGTTATTTGTCTGTCAGTGGCAGGTGCAGTCTAAAAAGAAAAGAAAATGGAAATTAATTAAAAACCGAAGCTAAATTCAGTAAGTTCTAAACAAAAAGACTTCTAATTTCTAATAGAATATATTAGGGTAAAAAACAAATATGTATACTGGAAAATTAACACCCAGCTGAACTAGAGAGAAAATGAGGGCTAACTGGGAAGAACATACAAATATTTTATTACTGTATTAGGTAGATCCATTTTATTCTATTATTATTTTATTCGTGTTGTACAATCCTTCAAGTAAACACAAATTATACGAACGTTTCCTCAAATTTCTCGAAGGATATCACCACAAAACAGTAACTAGAGATATTACAAACAGATTACGGAATTCGTAATTTGTGAAACATGTCAAAAAATATACGGTTAGGTTTAATGATCCCTGCCTGTTCCCCCAAAAATATTAGTAGAAGAAATAGGGAACAATTCTTCTATTGTTACTCAATAGAACACCATTCAAGAATACCGATTAATGAGATTTAGTACGCCCCCTTTCTCTCGTTCCTTCTACTCCCTATAATTCAAGAATAGAGTCCCTGANTGCCTGTTCCCCCAAAAATATTAGTAGAAGAAATAGGGAACAATTCTTCTATTGTTACTCAATAGAACACCATTCAAGAATACCGATTAATGAGATTTAGTACGCCCCCTTTCTCTCGTTCCTTCTACTCCCTATAATTCAAGAATAGAGTCCCTGACGTGTAGCGAGGGGTACATCCTTGAGTAATTAATGTTGGAAGATGTTCGTTACAAAATCTAAGATACTCGGCTGCTCCAAGCCTGTGTGGAAGAATAAAAAGGACCTACTAAGAGTATTTCCTGCAATTCCCATCCAAACGTTTAAACTAAAATTATGTTGACATCTTCAAACAAATATTTCATGAGTATTTTCTTCCGACCATGAATGAACATTATGAAGGTTTACTGCACTTACTCTAGGAAAATTTGCTTCATCGGTGAAAAGTATATTCATTAGGAAATTTAAGTCATGCCTGGAAATATTAATGTACCATTGACAAAAATCCACGCGGTTTGATAAATCAGTTTTATTCAATTCTTTTACTGGACATCTGTCTTGTGCTTGTATCACAGTCTTGTTCTAGATGTTCCAGTATAGCTTCCTCAGTTTCAACAGTTCGGACATTACGCCTTCTTCCGGCACCCTCACGATTGGGCTGAATTTTACCAGTTTCGCGAAGCCTTCTTTCCACCGAGGCCAATGTTTGTCTATGAGGAATCGGTCGGTTTGGATATCTTTGGTGGTATAATCTTACTGCAGCGTTACTATTTTTTCTCGATTCGAAAAACACTTGGAGCATGTCGACATATTTGCCATTGGTATAAATATTATTTGCCATAATTATTCTGATAATAAATTAATCAATTGGTACTAATTATTGATTGACAGATAGTGTCAATTTGTTAATATGATAAATAACAATTTATTTGTTATGACATCCGCCTACTTTATTTTTACAAATTTTCGCAATTACCCCTTTAGTGAACGATGACACATCTAATTTTTTTACTAAGAAACTATCAGTTTTAACGAAAAATTACAAGAGGTAAAAAAGTTGCGCAATAAATCAGTCTTCCCAATAAATATTTTTAAATAAATAATAAGTTGTCTTTTTATTAGTAGGATGCTCATACCAAGTTTCATGTTTCTAGCATTCCCCATGTTAGAGAAAAAAAATTAAAATGTGAATTTCAATTCCCTCCTTTAAGAGGGTATATTGCCTCTGGGGTGCAACTTTCATATAAGGTATTTTTACTTCAGTCCTCTTATTTTTGGCTCTACATTCACTGGTACCATTTTGCTACTTTATTTAAAAACACCCTGTATATCCTATAGCTTGAAGTTTCAAGAAAGCAATAGTTTTTGGATGTTTGTTGATATTAGCATTTTCTTTTATGGCCAAACAACTTTTTTGCATTGGGAATCGACTCCATAACGTGGAAGATTTCATAGACTTAGCTTTTTCGATAAAGTAAACTAGAAGAATATCATATCAGTTACAGTTTTGATTTTGTTCAGATTTCGTCATTCAGTAAGTTGATATTCTGTTCATATCTTGGCCTAGATTTTACTGGTATAAAATTCGCGTTGGCTTGTGCCGCTTGCTCTAGGATGTTATCGGGAACTTCAAGATTTTCTTCGGAGTACATTTTATCAGCATAAATTTAATTGACAGAAAATAAACAACGCTGACAATACAGTGTTTGTCATGCATTTCCATGGTTACTCTCAAATTATTTCAAAGGTTATTTGTTGTAAATTAGTCTATGTCAGATAACGTGGACAAAACGTCAAAAAATATTACAGACATGTATCTAAAATATTCAAACATTTACGAATTAAAATACAGAATAGGTACATGTTAAATATCAGAGAGCATATAGACTTTCTTAAATTTAGTTTACTTTGCTTTATATTTCTATTTTAAAACCATATATTCGGTATTTTTATTATTCAGCGCACAGAAAGAATCCGAGATCGGGTAAACTTTTTCCATGCGCGTTTCCGTGCGCTAGTCCGAAAAAGCCCATCTTACATTATTAATACAGATGAAAATAAGATGTTTTCAAAGAATATAATAAAAATATTCTATTATAAAGGGTGATTCCGTCATAATGTCATTAATATTTAAGGAAATATAGGGAAAAATTAGTAGAATCTGTGATTAAAAAGAATTTAAAAAGCATATTTACGCTGAAAAAAAATATTTTCAAATCATTATTTAGTATTATTATTATTAAACCTCTTTTTGGACCACTCCTGACCTCTGATCCACAAAGGTTTATCGAGAGTTAATCTTGACTTAACGTATTGTTCAGTCACTAACCTAACTTTTATTGCATTTTTATTCCGCAGTGAACGATAAGGATAAAACAGATTTTGTTACCTAGACACATGACAGAATAAGATATTTTTATACATTTTAAATATTAACAAGTAATATTTTTTATTTGTTTTTTATTTATTATATATGTAAAGAATGAATTTTATAGTCATGATTTCAAATATATATTTAATACTTTAAGTAATAATTTAATTCCATAATTCCAAATATTGAATATGTAATACAATATTTTTAGTGCATAAAACTCATTATTTTTTTTCTCCAACATTTTTTGACTGTCAGAAGTCTCTAAGGTTGACATTTTCCTTACTGAGAAAAATTAATGGTATCTTATCAACAAAAGTATTCACTTTTAATTCTAGAAGCTACAGTTGACATTTTTAATTCTTAGATTAAAAGTGTTAATCAAGTTTTAATTTATAAAAGTTTTTAATTCAACAATATTTACAATAATTTTTGTTTATCCACATTGATATTAAATACACAGTTTGAACAAGTGTATTAAAATTAAATAAACCCCTGAAACGGATACTACCCTCATTCTTGGAGTAATTCTCAAAGCAGTCCAACACTTTTTCATTAATAGTTACATTATTTTAATTAAGGCGGATTTCACATCTTCAACATTATCAATTATTGTTAAATTGACTAATTCATCAGAACGGCATGCGCCTGCAACCCCAGATATTAGGACTACCTATAAAAAAGCTTTTTAAAAATTTTGTTGTTTTATTTTTAAAGCGTTTACCTTCATCGTCAAATATGAATTATCAGGTGTACTATTCAAAAAGCAATTAACCCGCTCCTTTGTAAATACTCCTGATTTTTTCGGTACATGTCCCTCATTTTGTCTCTTGAGAAAAGCACGTAACTTTGAATATTTGCTTATATCAATCCCCTTCTTTATACCCAACGTTAACCGCAACATTGAATATTGTAACCAAAGCGTAGACGGCTTGATTTTATTTGCTAAGTTTGAGAAATACACCATCTATACATCTTCTGAATACAACTTAATGTTTTTTTCTTTGCACCAATCTGTAAAACATTGCTAGACACATTCATAAACTCGAGATTTCTTTGGGAGAAGATTCAAAGAAACCTCTTTCACACACTCCAGTATCTCCTCAGTTATACCTAAATCTTCATTAGATTCCATTTTTAAAGAGTTTTCAGCAGACTGAACCTCAAACAATCACAAATGAATTCAATTAGCAATACAACTAATTCGCCCACAAATACAAAATTTGCTCGCCACAAAAGTAACACTTTTAATCCTAATATAACAATACCATTTTGTAATGGTAGCCTGTAAAATTATATAAATAGTCTATTCAATGTAATTAAGATGTATGTTATTAATATTACTATAAATTAACTGTACATTTATTTCGTTTAATAATAATAAGGAAAAGAGCGAGTCGCCCTCTGCAACGCGATGGCGCGAGCGAAGTTTTTATTTCTTTTTTTGCTGATTGATGGGTGTTGTCCTATAAAATTGTTGACTGACCATTTTGTTTATGGTTAATATAACAATAATACCTCCACAAAAGTTTTGAAGTACAGGCAGTCTTCGTACTTAGGGCATGTTCAGTTCTCAAAATATATGACGTAAATCGAAACGACGTACGTCGATACATTTTTTTTCATCCACTTCTATATGTATAAAGTGAAGGAGTTAGGGTCTATTAGAACATTATAATGTAAAAAAACTACATAGTAAATACATTTTATTACCTCGGTAGGTATGACAACTGTTATAGTGTCTGAGACACCCGTTCTCAGTTTCGCTTGACTGACCACAGTATGTTTGTGTACACAACTATTGTAATCAACTATCAATAAACTAGGCTTAGTAAATTCAAACAATTTTTTTGCTTCTGGCTCTCCGTCTAATACCACATTTTATTTAAATTAGAAAAATTGTGTTAGTTATTCGGATATTTGGAATTTCATTGCTAACTCTGTAGAGACCCAGTGGGTAAACGAAACAACTGTAAATATAGATAAGTTTAGTTAACTCGTCTTATTGCGACACACGTGCAGTGCCAATAAGAGCAAGTTTTAAAAATATTTTGTATCATAATGTGCTATACTTATCACTCTATATCTCAGAACCTTTCCTATTTCCCGTCAGGGAATCACCTGTGTAAATTTGTCATTTGAAATTGCAGTACTCTGTATTTTATTAGGAAATCATAGGAATGAGACTTTCCAGTTCTAAATAAAATATCCGATTCTTTTTAGGTCACCTATCAAGATATTTTTAAATCATAAGAGGATTGTTGGTAACCTGACATATTTAGATTGTGAATGTAAGTAAAAATATTTTCTACACTTGATATTTAAAAAAGAAAATTTCCCTAATTAGTGGTTAATTTCCTAGTGGGACAAAAGTTATGTCTTTAACTGGATAAAACAACTAAGAAAATAGAAAAAAATTTCATATTCTAATGGACGTCATGTCATATACAGTGTGTTCACGGTTTTTATTGCACGTGGGGTGTAAATGACAAAAATTTTTCGAGTTGAAATTTGAGCTTCTGGGCATCATCTCTGCTTGGCCTGAAACTAGGAAGCTGAAAAAATTAGTCCAATTAATTAATGTGATCGGCCAACTCTGTTTTTTTTATTTTTCACAACCACAAAGTACAAATTTCTAATTATTTGTTAGAGAAAAAAATTTAACTAATATAATAAACATAAATAAACAAATAATATAAAGGTTATTTAAATGTGCTGCCACCAACCATTATACATCGCTCAGCGTGCTTGGTAAACTCTGTGTAGGCATTTCAGATTTCTTGGATGGGGATGGCATTAATTGTATCTTTTATTCTTTGTTTTATTCAAACAAGTAGTTATTCAACGGGGATCCATAGACTTTCTGCTTGGTGTCCGTCTTGTTGAAAGTAAAGAAAAAAATGAATTTCTGATTCTTTGACTAGTTTGCTTAAATCTTTGCCACTAAATAATTTAATCCAGTCGAATTAGATCATAAAAGCTGAAAACTTGAAAAAAATATTAGACATTTTATTATACATTATGAGTGAGAAGGGTAAGTAGAATGATAATATCAAAAAACTAACTCAAAAGAAGTGACGCTAAGTTGACAAATTGCAATTAAGTATCAAATTTACGTGTTTTTTAACTTTTTTTACTGCCCACGAAAATCTAGACGATCTGTCGGAATATTAGTTATTTTATATTATAGGCAGTGAAATTATCTACAATTTAAGGTATATTTCACCAATTTGTTAACTGTAAAATAAAGGTCGAACGCGGAAAAATCAGTTTTCGAAAATTGCTCATTATTTATGCAAAAAGCTATGGATGTTGATGAAATTTATGGAAAAGATGGTCAATCCAATGACCAATATACAGGGTGGTCCGAATTTTATGCAGGAAACTTCGAGGGCAGATAGATCTCTTTAAAATAATATATGTTTGCCTTATAAACATAGGTCTGGAATGGCACCCTTTTAGAGATACAGGGTGTTGAAGTTGTCAAAAAAAATTGATTTTTTGTTTATATCTCCGGAATCTATTAACCGATCTCAATAAAATTTGGTACATATAATGTATGATAGTAGGCCTTATATTCCCTGAAATATGAACTTTAAAGGTTCAACCAGTAGTGTACAACTGGACAGGGGTCACCCCCTTTTTTACAAAAAAACCTACCCCCCACTGCATTTTTTACATGTCATTGCAACTGTTATATATTTTTATATTTTTATGCACAAAATACGTAAAAAAGGTGATTAATTTTTTCCCTAAGTTTCGCCGTTCTCAAGTTATTCTTACCAATACAATCCCCTTGTGGCAGACACTTCTAACGATAATATTACAAGAATATTTGTTTACGTCTAAAAGTAAGTGCAATTTGTAAGCACATCAACAAAATTATTTACACTCCTTTCTACACCACCTGTAGGTAGTGTGCGATATAAACAAAAAACCAATTTTTTTTTAAACTTCAACGCCCAGTATCTCTAAAACGGGGCCGTTCCAGACCTATATTTATAAAGCAAACACATATTTTAAAGAGATCTATCTACCCTCGAAATTTCCTGCGTAAAATTCGAACCACCCTGTATATGCCAAACGCCGATTCGATTGACCTTGAAATTGTTGCTCCAGGTATTTGTTAATTAATTTCGTTCGTTTTTTGCAAGTAATTGTTTAATTACTAAATGTTAATTTTAGAAGTTAATATTGTTACGACGTACCGTTGGTTGCACTGGATTTGTTGAAATTTCTATCTGGTGGGCGACTTAGGGCCGGTACTTTCATTCTAGATTAGATAAATATAACCCTCAGTTAAACTTTAACCCTTGGTTTCGGTTACTTTCAAGCACTGTCAACTACTGACCAGGGGTTAAAGTTGGCGTATCCAAATTTAATCGAAGCATGTAGCAGCGATTACCGATTGATTAACGTGGTTTAGCATGAAACATACTTTGATACTTTTGACAGAATTGACGTTTAAAAAAATGGATTTAAATAAATTGGGGGGACCTATTCGACAGTAACGATCGACTAAGTTAATAATAATTTGAAGACTGTACAGAAGAACAATTTTTTAACAAATTTCAGTTTTCCAAAAACACTGTTAGGACAATCTTGCTCCCAGCAATAGAACATATTTTGAACCGTTTGAACCTGCAATAGCAGTATGTAATATTACAATATTTTATCTTCACCTTTTATATTTTATTTCAATTGTAGGTATAATGAAATAGATACTATGGACCAGCTTACTCTGCCATGCAATATTATTTCCCTAAGAGTTGCCCCATCAGTGTTTTTGTTTTCAATTACATTTAGTTCTGTTGCCATTAATTCATTAGGAGACCGATTTCATGCTCAGTAAAATTTGTTCCACTTTTTTCTTGCTACCCATTATAGCTTAAGATCTTTGAATAAATATATCACACAGCAAAAGTAATTAATAAATCAGATTTGACAAGAAATGTATGGCACATGACATGCATCATAACAAAATTTAAAATTTGCGTACGACGTACGTCTTTCCTACTAGCCTAATTCAAATAATGGGTTAAATAAGAAAATTATTTAGTGCGTATGTGATTGATTAATTCCTGTTCAAAATTTGCATGATATGATGTCAACAAGAAAAAGAAAACGAAATAAGCATGTCGGATGAAGTGCAACCAACATAAAAATTGCAAGTTTATCTAACCTAGCGTTTAAAAATACCGTAAAGTACCTAATATCTTTTAAACTTCAGTTAGTTTACTGGGGTTAATTTGTAGACCGATTAGTTAAAGGTTAACAGGTATTTAATCTAGACTGAAAGTAGCCCTTAATAATTTACAAATAAGATCTTACCAAGCTTCAACCATCGTGAGGCAAGGCGAGACCTCGGGCACCTTCACTACTCACTCTCTGACAACCAGAAGGGAATTCTCTCCTCCTGTCTCGAGCATCCAACTCGCTACTCCGTTTGTGTTGAGCTTGCAATGTCCCCCGAATGGTTGACTTCTACATTGTTAGACTTATCAACCGCTCAGCACAGAGCCGCGTGCAAAAGGATGCTACCGTTTTTTTGACCCTTACAATCACACAACAGCTTTGTCATCTAAGATTTTTATGTATATCGTGTTCTAGAAAAAGTGTCTGTATAAATCATTATGCTGTTTTCATATTTAACTTTAAAAATTCTTAATTAATAGTTACTAGTCTCCATATTGACCGTAGATATAGGTTCTAATTGATCCAAAAAAAAGACACATAGGAAAAGAAAAATTTGAAAAAGTTGAAATTAAGTTGCCCTTTACAACTAACAAAGTAGGACGTACAAAACAACGTTATAAACAAATTGTCCCAGAGTCAGGAAAAGTCGCTAGGGAGTTTGATCTTTTTGCATTAAATCGAGCTTATTTTTTCTTTTTCAATATGTTTATTTGGATCAATTAGAACCATTATCTACGATATTAACTTCTAAAATTAACATTTAGTAATTAAACAATTAGTTGCAACAAAAACTAACGAAATTAATTAACAAATACCTGGAGCAACAATATCACTTTCAATCAAATGGGCCTTTGGCACACATGTTGGTCATTGGATTGACCATCTTTTCCATAAATTTAACCAACATCCATCGCTTTTTGCAATAATAATGTGTGCATGATTTTAATGATGTTGAAAGCCATAAACAAAAACATACTACTACAACATGACAAACTGTAAATATAATTATTAAAATTGTTTTCTTTTTACCTTGATATTAGAGAAAGATCTGGCTCACATTCTCCGATTATGCTATAACAATGGCCAACTGAATATCATATGAGTCTTGAGTTTATAATTTGGCAATTCCACTTACAAGCCTCTGTTTTTTGAAGACTTTTGACTATAAATATGATTTTAATAAAATCGAACTGATAGATGGAGCTAGTAGTTGCAAACTAAATGGTTGCATTATCTCATTTATAACAAAAATATTACTTGAGACGTGCTGCATTTTAGACTTCAAATGGTGTTAGAATGACACCTCATTTGTATGCTCTGATTTTGTGTTAAACATATGTATATTTTTTTAGGTTACCTGTCGGAAGAAAATGTGAGAAACAATACAATACCTAGAATGGATGATTTTGCATTAATTGAATTGAAATTAAAAGATTCGATGAATTCTTATATGTATACTGGTTTTGCATACATTAAATTTTGTAAACGAAAATATCTAAATGGCTCCACCCAAATTGATAATCATAGTAAGTTTTGTACAAATGGCAGCATGAGATTATATAGAATTTTTGCTAAGCTGGTATGTTTGTTCAATATTATCATGATAATAAATAGTTTTTACCATTTTTTTTGTCTCATAAAGATTTAAGTATTCAAGAAAAACTTAGTTCAGTATTATCTATTTTGTTCCATAGAATGTCATCTGATTAATAATATTTACTGAATGATATATTGAAGTAAAAAGAGATTCTATCATTCCATTTTTTTAAACAAGTTTTTAAAGTAGTTATATCCTAAGAATGGAGTTCAAGTAGAAAACTTTCGAGTCGAGCAAGTCATATTTGACTGAGTCACTTACTTTTAACAACTGGCAACGTCGCACAGTGGGAAATATGTTAAAATATTCTACGGCTATTTTAACCGTACAGTGGTAATTTCTTTTTTATTCTAATATGCTTAATTTTATGAGATTTTGTATCTATTGAAAAACAACGAAAATAATCATGTATGTGGCTTTACAATACTTTTCAACTTTAAACCTGAACCCAAAAACATAATTTCAAATTCATCAAACCTAACCTCAAAGTAATACACCGACTCTTTTCTAAATCTATGGTTATAATTAATTGAAAACTATATTTTTGAGCTTACGTTTCCTAACTCTAAAGCCATAAACCTACACACATAAAACCTAACCTCAAACCCTTCAATACCTAATCGCAAATCCTCAAAACCCAACTTCAAATTCTAAAAATTTGATCTAGAAATTTATGTTTTACACCAAAGAATAAAAGTCCTTGAAAACTATTTTGTGGAACTTATATTTTTTATATTTGAAGCCCCTATTCTTAAACATCTAACCACAAATCTAAGAAATCTGGGGCTAATATTTTGTATTTCTGAAACCTTAAACCTATGCTGTCTATAAATACCTAACCTCAAATCCTTGAAACTTATTTTTAAATCGAAAAAGAAAATTTCATTCGATAAATTATGAAAATTTCAGCAATTTTAGCTAAATACTCAGAGTCAAAATTATTAACTGAAATTATTCGATGGACCATATTTTTTTAGAGGGTTTTTCTGTTTTTTATTTTTATTTATTTTTAATTTTTTTGTTTTTGATTGTTGGAAATTTGTATTTACGGGGCATAAGGTTGGGTTAGGTTTGTCTTAAATAAACTGGATGCGTTACAATCGTTTGGTAGGTTTTTACAAAATTTAGCAGGAATCGTCCATATTATTTGAATTATTTTATTAGTTCCTTGTAACGAAAAACACGAACTGAAACAAAAATTTGTAGAATGTCAACTCGCGAGCAAACTAACCTTTCTTCAATGTGCGACGTTGCCGCGTTTAATTTATGTTAATAATCATAAGAAAAACTTAAAAGTTTGAGTATTAATATCTTTAATTCTAGCTGGTCAATCCTATCCAGATTATTACACATATTAGGCTATTATAAATTCGCTTCTCACTACAGATCCAAGTAGGTAGCACAAATAAGTTTATAATAGCTTTAAGAATATCTATATTAACCACTCTCCCGCAGGTAAAAGCTTTATTAAAAGATGTTGAGAACAGTTATTCAGCATTAAATAAGCATTTATAAATCCAAAATAGGCGCAGCTTATAAAACCATTTTATAAAAGCTGTACATATAATATTTATTCCACTAATTAGTGTTCTGTCGTTGCATTCTTATAGCATTTGTAAAATATACTGTAAAACCTTTATACAGAGAACATTGTCTTATAAAACAAATTTGCTGATATAGTTGTCTCCAAAGAAAAGGTTTATACATTTTTTATAAAATCTACTTTTTCCAACTTGAACGCGATGAATGTTGTATTAATGTTTCCAATATACAGTACAAAACTTTTTAGCATTATAATTATGCGTTTCTATACTAAATTCGTTTTATTAATAATAAAACTAAAATCTTTGGGCTGTTGCTGATTGTCGGCCATATAAGATAGGTACTCAAGAGTTAATGTTTACCGATATACACAATAAAATTAAATATGCATCTAGAAAATAAAAAACTACTTAGAACGAAAATTTTATTGATGAAATATATCATGATACTTTTAAAAAAACTAAGCACCTTTAAAATTAAGCACATTTAGCAATCGTCTGTAACAATTTTCGATTCAATAAAAAAAATAAAGAATATGTACATAACAAGTTATTAAATATAATTCAATAGACATGCATTAAACTAATTATTTCATGATACATATATTATAAAATTGAATTTCTTTTTGACGTAATTCTGGTGTACAATATGGCCGACATCTTGTCCTAAGCATGTTTGAAAAATATGGCTGCTAGGAGGAAGCTTCTACCACAGTAACTATAAATCCGTTATAAAATAATTAAAATTTTAAATAATATATAGTATTTTGTAGAGTAATTTGTTGTCTACTATCGGTTTAAAAATTCTGCGTAAACTGCTTCCTGCTGCAATTCCAATGGGGTCAACAAAACAGATAGTAAAGTAATATGTATGTAAGATGGTATGGCTAGTAAGTGCTTGTATTTTAAAATGTTCTGAAAGAAGCTCTGAAGATTTTGAATGATAGAACACTTTTAACTAATAGCACTGCTAGTAGAGTTTAGAAGAGACAAATATACGGAGTACTGTCACAAAGTCACAAATTTGATAATAATATGGGCAAATCAGCTGCTTATTGGTCACAAACAACGAATACATTCTAGAAGAGACGTGAATGGATGTCTAAAGATGAAATCATTATCAGTTAGTGTTAATTGTATTAATAATTAATGAAATTATAATCAGTAAACAGTATTACAGTACTTTTAGTCTTGTTGTTTGCAGCACAAAATAATTTTGCAGTGACTGTGAAAGCAACGTATCGTATAAACAAACTCTAATAAAGGGCTTATTTGAATGTTAATAATATAATTAAAATTAATAATTCCAGTGTCTTCCTGAAGGGTAACTAATAATATCCTAGGACATAATGTATAGTAGGTATTTAAATTTTATAAAACAACATGCAGTTTTATCGCCATAATTGTTGTAATATTATATTAACACTAAAACTTTCTAGTTCACAGATTTTTTTTAGGTTACGGAAAATATCTTCATATATCAAAAGCTTTACTATATGTATAGTAGTTTTATAAGTACAATATATATTGCTTCATCTCTCAAAAATAGCTTTTTAGTTGAGAAGAAACTACTTAAACTATTCTGCTTACAGCTGTAATAAAACCCTTTTATAGAATCTTTTTTAAAGCTTGTTGTGATATTATTTAACTCAAAAAGCTAAAATTATTTATAATTTAGTCATATTGTATATTTAATGGATAATGTTATACAACATTAATCGTACAATCAATATACTGTATAAAAGCTATAAAAATTGACCGGTAAGTATTTATAACATTAAAAAAAACAAGGAAGCAGCTATTACACTTTAAACTTTTATAGAAGTTTCATTTACCACGTTTATAAGACTTTAGGAAAGCCTTTATAAAATTGTTGTATAATTTTACTATTAGAATATTCTAACAGCTTTTTTATATACCAAAATTACTATACGAGCAAATTAACACCTTATTAAGGCATTAAAAATCTAAAAAAATACATTTGTCGCTATTAAAAAACAGTTATATAACTTTAAGCGATGTAATAGTAGCATTTGTGTTAGTTGGGAGGGATCTGCAAAACGGTAAGAGATACAAACTAGGCAATGGGGGCAAAGTTGCGTAATAAGGGGACCAACATTATACCTCTAAAAAATTACCGCTAACATGATTAGTTTTCGAAATATTTAAAAAAAACGAAATTTTGGAAATCAGTTTTTATTTAATTTCAGCTTTGAAGTGATATTGAAAAAAGAAGAACACATTCTCATGGCTACTTTTTGCCCTCTATCGAATGGCATAATCAATTTTTATATGTAACGATTCGTCTTTCCAGGACTATGAACTTCATTTTTTTAAATACAACCTCTGGAAATTTTATTACATTTTTTGCAAGCCTTCATGACCCTCAACATTATACTGTCTCAGCCCGAACCAGATTTAGACATTTTGTCTCGAAAAATTCATCTTCATGTATACGTTCCAAATTTATCTAAATTTTTTATTTAGATTTCTTTATTTATTGAATTATCGTACACTGTAAGTGTCGTTAGAACCTGTGAAATACATCTAGTTATTTAAACTATTACCACCACACATTACAATAAAACATTTATTATTATTAACTATCACCATCACTTGGTCATTCATAACTCGATAAGTTGCGTCAAAATTAAAACATTAATACAATTTTAATTTTATTATGACAAATTAATTCTTAAAAATGCATATGAACAACCAAAACACCAACTGAATATTATTCTTTAAAAAATTTCAGTAAATGTTCAAAAACATTTTCGTTTTGGCAAAGGTTGAAAATGAAGATCAGCGTAATATTATCGTAATTTATTATACCTGTAACCGCAACTGTGACAGAGTATGTCAGATGTATTTGTATGAATATCCAGAAAAAAAAAATATCGGAATTTGTTTGAATTTTGAGCACTCGAGAAGCCCAGAAATAACTGGGCACGGGATTAAAACTTTAATCATGTTTTATTTTAATGCGTGTTGGTAATAGTTTAAATAACTAGATGGATTTCACATGGTCTAACGACACCAAGGGCATTTAAATAAAGGGGACTATGCATGTCACAGTCTATCTCATATGTTGGGTGAAGCTAGACAAGGGGAAAGCAGAGGGCTTTATTTTCATCCAACTGATGCGCGCGATTACATCTCCAATGTCGTACATTTTGGATGGGTCAAAATAAAATATTTTATAGTCCTAAGTCAATATATTTCAACAGCTACTCAGTATTTTTATAATAAATATATATAATATTTTTATAACTTCTTGGAATCCCAATAACTGTAACCATTTCTTTCTTGTTGCACCATCCCCAAGCATCCTAAAAACGTTCACATTTCACTTTTAGAATACTGAGGCAAATTTTCAGTGAGACATAAAAATATATTCCCAAAGGAGAACATCAAATGGTTGAATGAATGCAACTTTCAGTTGATTGCATCTTCGGTATTTTTATGTATAAGTGAACCACCACCATATTTTTGCTGTTGTATTTATTCAGTTTTTATGCTCGTGCATTTAGTAAAATTGTAAATATATTTTTGAAAAGGTTTTTGTCGTAGAGGAAAATGAAAATGATGAATGATTAAAATTTGTAATGTTGGGTATAAGGGATAACATTGAAATACCTATAAATATATTAAATATAAATAATGTCTGTAACTTATTTGTGGTGCAGCATTTTCCTTTGATTTTAATGGCCAAACGTGGTTCATATTATTGTTTTCTTACTATTTCAGCAAAAATTTTAAAAAAATACCAAGTCAGTTTTATAAAATTTTACCGTTATTCAAATAAAAGTTACCCACACGCACGACAATGGCCACAGTTGCATATACATTCCAAAGTCACCTTCAAGCACGCTTACCTGTGGAAGGATAGCTGATGTGGATGTTTATAATCCAATTTCTTACAAATTCTGCACTGTCTAACCATATTCACACCTTAAAAGTTTATCCAAAATACATGTATAAACACTAATCACGTTTCACTTACTAAAATCACAACTATTTTCTAACAAGAGACGCCATATTCTGCCAACCACGGCAGAACGAACGAGGAACACGCTACAAATTATTGCGTAGTTGCCAAGTCTTCAAACATGGCAAATATGAAAAATGAAAAATAGTTTAATATGTACAGAATTTAACAATATTGTATGCATAACTTAATAATACTATCCTATAATAATAATTTTCACAATTGTGATGAAAATTGCGATAAAAATATTAAGTACATTTCCAGTATAATTATACAGCTGACAACAATGATACAATTAGACTGTGAATAGACCAGGCTTCATCTAGAAATGTAAATAAATAAGTCCCCTTTATTTAAATGTCCTTGAACGACACAGTGTACGATAATTCAATAAACAAAGAAATCTAAATAAAAAATTTAAATAAATTTGGAACGAATACACTGAAGATGAATTTTTCGAGACAAAACAACGTCTGAATCTGGTTTCGGGCTGAGGCACTGCAGTATTGGGGGTCATGAAGGCTTGCGAAAAATGTAATAAAATTTCCAGGGTCATATTTAAAAAAATTAACTTGATGATGGTCCTGGAGAGACAAAACGTTACATATAAAAATTGATTATGCCATTCGATAGAGGGTAAAAAGTGGCCATGCGAAAGTGTTCTTCTTTTTTCAATATCACCTCAAACAAGACTGAAATGAAACAAAAACGGATTTCCATTTCGTTTTTTTTCAAATATTTCGAAAACTAATCATATTAGCCTTGATTTTTGGTTCCCTGATTATGCAACTTTGTCCCCATTCAAGCTAGTTTGTATCTCTTACCGTTTTCGAGATCTCTGTAGTGAAAAGCGAATTTGTAACAGCCTGTATAACATATTTCTACACAAATGAGTCTTGCTTAAAATTTGAGCAGTTTCTCGAATGGGGTTATTTAAGTATAGCAACGTTTTCATTGTAACGACAACATATTGCGCCATTAAGCTTATGCTAAACATAGTCAAGTTTGATTAAGCACAACTCAGAAACTATGGTAAACTGTGCTGAAATTTTGCAAAAGTATCTATCAGGTGTATAATTTAGGTGATAACTACGTTAATTTATTTTGATCGAACATTTTGACCATTCAGCGATATTTTAAGTGGTAGATTAAAGCACAATTAATTGTGCTGTAATTTAATGCAAATTTAAGGTAAATCAAGTGTACCAGCTGAACGTAGGTATTAATTTTACGTTTACTTCTGGTATAAAATGTTTTCAAACTGTGTTAATCTGTTTAAGGATAAATTCACTGTTTTTCCAATTGCAAATTGCTTAAAATTAAACAAAAAACTATATTATAGGTACTTATTTTGTCAGTTGCGTGCTATACATTAATATGTGAGAACACTTCCCAGTTGCCAAAAGTGAATAAAATAAAAAAATATAATCCCTAACTGATAACTAAAAATGCAGTAGTAAGGGTTCATGCCCCCAAACTGTTATTAGTAGTTAATTGGTGTACTGACAAACCATTCATTTTACAGTTGCTGCCCTTTGTTCGGGAAAACCAAATGTAAATTTAACATTTAGTATGGTGACGAGAAGTCTTGGAAATAAAGACATAATAGGAAAACAGGTTATGATGAAAGTTATCGCAAATATAGGAAGTTCCTTGAAATTATTGAAAAGTGTAAAGTATTTAGAAACATCGCCTATTGGTAAAAATATTTTATTACCTAAAATTGAAGATTTCAGAGTATCGTCAGACGATCAAGATCTTATTGTAGAGGTAAGTATTTTAATTATTCAATTTGATAATTCACTTAAGGATATGTATCAATAGATATGAAAGACTTATACTGGGTATCTCATAATTAGTGTCCAATAATTTACCACTTGATTCTATTTGCCAAAAATAAGAATATTTTTTCATATAAACATGGGTTGAGAAATGCTTCCTAAGGAAGTTACGCCCCTCTAAATGGGGCCACAAAAAATTTATTTTTTCATTTCCAAAATGGGTTGAAGAAAAATTATGAATTTTCACATCGTGAACGCTCATTAAAAGTCGAAATAGCTCATCATAAAATTTTTCAAAAATTTTAGGTAGGGGCGTCTCAATTGGGGAGGTCGTCGGCTAAAATTTGCTCCAATTTTTTTGCTTGCTGAAATTTTCAAATTCAGATGCCAACAGATGATAGACTCTTATTTCCTCTACAAAAAGGGTGCTCTTTATTTCTTTCGATAAAATGCTCCATTTACGAGAAAGCATTTCATTACATACATTAATAAAATTCAAAAAAATTTTCTTGATTAACTAAAATGGGTACATGTACCATTATGATTTGATATGTCATCATATCATTATACATTGTAATAAATAACGTGAAAAGTTCTTAGAAAAGTTTATTATGGGCGTCCTAAGCAGGAGGGGGGGTCTTGGGTACAATTTTTTTACATGTTGCTATTTTCAAATTTAAACAGTAAAATGTAATAGATCTGAGTTTTCTATTAAAAATGGTAATGTTTTATATTGAAAAAGTAATCCGTTTTCGAAAAAAATCGGTTTAAATATGTTTTGAACACACTTTTGAAAGTGTGCTTTTCTAAGCACTTAAATCCTTTTTCTTGGAAATAGATCATTTTATCGAAATAAATAAAGAGTACCTTTTTCTAGAGGGAATGGTCCATCATATGTTGGCTTCTGAATTTGAAAATTTCGACAAGCAAAAAAAGTGGGGCAAATATTAGCCGATGACCCCCTCAATTGAGACGTCCCTGTTCAAAATTTTTGAAAAATTTTATGATGATCGACTTTTAATGAGCATTCATGATGTCAAAATTCATAATTTTCCTTCAACCCATTTCGGAAATATTTAAAAAAAAAATGAATTTTTTGTGGCCCCATTTCTTAGGAAGCATTTCTCGACCAATGTTCATATGAAAAAATATTCTTATTTTTGGCAATAGAATCAAGTGGTAAATTATTGGACACTAATTATGAGACACCCTGTATAACGATAAATACTAGGTCTACAAAAGGATGATGTTGGTAATGCACCTGATTTTAGGGTTGATGCATGTTCATCCCTTTTCATTTATCTACATTGAAAACTTCAACATTTCAAATACTTTTCAGTGACTTATTAAAATATTAATTAAAACAAAAATCTTTGAGACTGAGATAGAAGTAGAAATAAAATAAATAATTTTAAATACAGAATCATGTTTTAAAATGTTTATTTGTTGTTTCATTTCTTCTGAGATTAAGAATTATTTGTTGTCTATTTTTAGTTTTATTTTATATCAAGTAAAAAAAAATTATATCATTTGTATCTTATTAAAAATAAAAAAATACAAAAAGTCGAACTGTTATTGTTCGTCTTCCTCAGCATCATTTCAAAGTTGGCAACTGATACCTGATCCTGTTCAATATTAACATACTCCTTTTATGTTGGAAATAGTTTTTATGTGTTTTGATGGTATTGCATTCATCATGTGGATGTTAATTTTGCTGCCTTCATGTACTTCTTCTGCTGGATTTAGAAACATAACCTCTAATATTCAATTTTCATAATGTTGAATAATGTTTTTTGCTCTATAGATCAGTGGCAACTGGTGAAAACTAGAATGGTTGTTTTAATAATAATGCTTGGGACTTATACTCTTTTATAGGGTGTAATTCCTAGGAACTTTTCTGAAAAAAAAATTCAAAAGAAATTTGTGAAATATTTTCCAGCAAGGATTGCATATACAGTGTGTCCCCGGATGGGGTACTGCATGCACTCTTGTAAACTTTTTTATTACTGATTTTTCGAGAAAAAGTTATTCTTTTCCTTATCTTGGGAAACCATGGGCAGTAATCAAATATATAATAAAACATACAGGGTGTTCAAAAAATTTCAATACGCAATTTCCCGTAAGCAAAGTGGCTTTAATTTTTGTTTTCGTAAAAAATTATATTTAACAGTTTTGTACGAGAACTCAAGAAATACTTAAATACGGGGTTTAGTCAAAAACAAAGAACAACTACATTTTGCAAATAAGAAGACTTGATTTTTAACTATCTTAAAGCAGACAGAAATTGTAAAAAATGATTAAACTTTTATTTTAAATTTAATGTAATATAAAAAATGGCTTGGTAGAAAAGAGCGATGTTTCACGAAACATCAAAAAACCTAAACCGACGACGTGGCAACCATCCTGGAAATTGTTCTACGATTAACAGTTGTCTGGTAGCCTGCAAACCAAATAAAAGTAGCTTTTCTAATTAAAAAGTAGAACAAATCAGAACTGGAATTAACCCCAACGACGAAGCAAGTCCTATTCAACTTGTAAACCTTCAAGTAGAGATGGGAAATTCCCGGGAAGATATATTTTTTTGAAATATTCCCAAAATATATTTCGGGAATGTTGCCAAATGTTTCCCGTGAATAATCCCACAGAATATTTTCTTGGAAACTTTCCATGGAAATATTTCCCACCACTTGCAGACTGTTTTTTGTTTTTTTTTTGAACAGGTGTTTATACTTATTGTAACTTGTGGCAATATTAATGATTATAATTAATTATATTATAGATTTTATTCTTGGGATTGCAAGTAGGTACCTACTTGATATCTGGAAATTCGGAAATTGTTTCAACATGAATTTACAGCAATTATTTGTACTTATTATTTTTTTAGTAACTTACCAAATACAGATTTTTTAAAAAATATACAAATAACATGAAAAGACACTGATAATGCATTGAAGCACAAAAAATACAAACATCGAAAAACATTTCCTAAGGTGATGTTATGTAGTGGTAATTTGGCGGGAAAGTTCCCATTTTGGAAACTTTCCAATATAGAAACTTATCAGTGGTCCATCTCTACCTCCAAGTAATACACATTTTTCTAATCTTTTTTAAATTCCTTGTACACAGATGAGATCGTTTTTTCCTTTATGTTGGTAACAGCTTCCTGAATATTTTTGCTGAAGTAAATCAATGTTATCGTCAAAATCGTTTGAATATACTTTTTGCTTTAAGTATTCCCATAAGAAATAATCTAATGGGCACAGGTCTGATCCACTGGTTCGGGAAGTGAATGTCAAGCTAGTTTCTCACTACAAGTGTGGAATGTGTAGGGCATCCGCCTTCTGAACTCTAAATTTTCTGTCTAGTCTGCCAAAACAAAATTATTGAAAATTTCCAAATACGAAATTTGATTAAGATTTTCTTCCAAAAAGTAAGGACCAATTACTTTATGATATATTATGCCACATCAGACATTTTTCTTTTTAAATTTTTTATTAGTATTATCAATCGAAAATTTGAATTATCTTTAGCCCAGTATCTACAATTTTGAAAGGAAACCACGCCATTAGTTGTGAATGTTGATTCGTCATTTGTTGTATACCAAAATCCTTTGAATATGAAATCTGCTAATATATATGTTTTCTGACCTTTTCCTGAGTGATATCTCTGGAATGTCTTGTATACAGGGTGGTCCGAATTTTATGCAGGAAACTTCGAGGACAATAGATTTCTTTAAAATAATAGGAGTTTGCCTTATAAACATAGGTCTGGAACGGCCTCGTTTTAGAGATACAGGGTGTTGAAGTTGTTAAAAAAAAATCATTTTTTATTTGTATCTCCGTAATCTATTAACCTATCTCAATAAAATTTGGTACATATAATGTATGATAGTAGACCTTGTATTTCCTAAAATATGAGCCCTAAAGGTTCAACCAGTGGTGTACAACTGGACAGGGGTCACCCCCTTTTTATACAAAAAAACCTACGCCATTGTATTTTTTACAAGTTATTGTAACGAATTTATATTCTAATGCACTACTACGTAAAAAAGGTAACTGGAATTTTTTCCCTAAGATTCACCATTTTCAAGTTATTCATACCAATACAATCCCCTTGTGGTAGACACTTCAAACCATAATGTTACAAGCATATTTATGTTTATGCTTAAAAGTAAGTGTAATTTGTAAGCACATCAACAATATTCTTTCCATATCACCTGTAAGGTAGTGTTCCTGGTGTATTTTAGTTTTCCTTGGAGGCCTAATCTTTACAAATAAGAATAATTTATCAAAGTAATAATAAAAATACATTTACCAAGCATCAACAACTAAACAAGAAACAAAATTAACGTTACATATTTATATCAATTGTTCAAAATGCGAACCACTCACATCCATACATTTCTGACATCTTCTATTAATGGAACTAATTGAAGCTAATAACATGTGGTGATTTTCTTTTAATTCATTACACCTGCGTTCTATTCGCTACAGTAGTTGTAGTCTAGTATCTATTGGAGTAAACTTTACTTTTCAGATAGGTAACCCCAAACATTGAAATCCAGGGGGTTTAGATCTGGCGATCTAGCTGGCCGAGACACTGGACCCTCTCCAACATTATGGTTGACATTGGTATTTGGTCTTCTGCCTATCCATCACCCCATATAATTTTCATTAAACCATTCTTGTATTATTCTCCTCAAGGAGCACCATACATTTGTATCCAGTATTTTGTCGTATATTTAATGGAACATCCTCTAATAATTCAAATATATGGTTTTCTAGAAAGTTTAGAAATGGTTGGGAATTTAAATGGGGTGGCAAGAAGAAAGGTCCACATACTTTATTGCAAATTATTCTGAGCTATACTTTCACAGAAAATTCGTGTTGAAAAGATTTTGTTCGAATTTCATGAGGATTTTCTTGTGACCAAATATGCAAATTGTGAAAATTCACTACCCCTCGCTTTGTGAATGCAGCCTCATCGGTCCAAAGTATTTCTAGTAAGAATTCTGATAAAAATTCAGGCGTCTTTCTGCAGCTCCCGGAAGT